AACGAAACATGAAAGCACTTTTGAGGCGCCTCAAAAGTCGACATTATGTAGGATGGGATGGGAGCAAAGAAACATGAAAGCAAGAAAGAAAACTTCGTGTCATGAGTGTGAGTTGGCGGGAGGGAAGAGGAAGAGGGGAGGGGGGCGAGTGTGATGTTGTAGGAACAGAGGTGAGTGGTGATCCTCCTTGAGGCATGATGGTTCTCCTAGAGGCAGAGAGGGGGAGTGTTTTGGCTTGTGCATAATATGGTTTTGAGACGTCTTTTGAGTCGTCTCATAAGTCAACTCCATAATATGGTTTTGTGACGTCTTTTGAGTCGTCTCATAAGTCAACTCCATAATATGGTTTTGTGACGTCTTTTGAGTCGTCTCATAACTCAACTCCATAATATGGTTTTGTGACGTCTTTTGAGTCGTCTCATAAGTCAACTCCATAATATGGTTTTGTGACGTCTTTTGAGTCAACTCAAGAGTCAGCTCCATGATGTGGTTGACGTCTCAAAAGGTGGTTCTCCTAGAGCTGTATGTGAGGCAGAGAGGAGGAGTGATTTGACTTGTCCATAATATTCACTTCATGGATTCAGCAGGATGGGGAATTAGAGAATGCCAAGGATGGAAAAAATGGAGAGAAAATGAAGGGTGGGACAGGGGTGATGGACAGGGTCAGGGTACAAGAATTGACTACAGAGCACACTGAAAGTAAGGGTAACTTACCCGAGTTAATGACAAAGACATCAAAGTTTGCAGATTGGTCCATCCACCCCTTGGCTGGCTGGTCCACGTGGATGGTTCCCCCATCTGACACGTATCTCTTGTTCCATGCCACGTGGGACAAAAATTGGTGGCTGAAAGGCAAAGCATGAGTTGGTGTGGAGATGGGGGTGAGGGAAGGGGGGCAAGGGGTGAGGAGGATGTTTGGGGTGCAGCGGATGGTGGGGGGATGGGGGGGATGGGGGGGATGGGGGAGGATGGGGAGGGTGGGGGAGAGTGGGGGAAGGGGGGGGGGGATGAAGAGGGTGACAAAGACGCCTCTTTTTCAGGAGAGCGCAAAATATGCAGATCCTGATGGTGGCTCGGCGATGCTGTAACGGAGGTTGGTAGGCTCTTGGGAGAGAGTGGGGGTGACGTCGAGGTGGGTAGAAGATCAAGGGTGGGGATGATGGCTCGAAGAGAATGTGAGGATGATGGCTAGAGAAACGAGGGGAACAGGAGGAACGTGTGGAGAGGAGGAAAGGGTAAACGGGGAAACGCGATTTCCTACTAGAAGGAGTTTCTAACCCTGGTAGGAGGATTAGTCGGCAGTGCAACTCACAAGAGGATTCCGAGAGTGAAGTTGAATTTCGGCCAGAAGTAGATGCGGTCTCTTAACGAGTTCAGCTTCACGACTGGCATGCCTTCAAACGCGTACGTCATGCAGGCCAGCGACTCAAACATGTTCTGGCTCAGCGAGTCGCCAATAAACGCGATGCGACGATTTGCCACACGTTTGCACAAATTCGTTTGCGTCACCTTGGGAATACCGCCATCGCAAGTACTTGTCTGCGAGACTTTCTCTGGTTCTCCGTTACCACGCGGCGAAACAGTTTCGCGAAGTTTCCAACGAAGTTTAGCGAATCCTGTATCCGGCCGACCATATTTGCTACACTTGCTGGTTTCGCGCGCGAGAGGACACGCATCCGTCTCGTACAGCGGCCACGACGAATCCTCTTCCCACGTGCCGTCGTCCAAGTCGCACGACGACGACGGCGCCGACGACGACGACGACGGCGACGAGGAGGACGACGACGGCGACTGCGACCCGCCAGCGGCAGCTACATTGCGAACTCGCACGTCCATCCCATCAGCTTCATACATGTCCGGACGACCGATGACGCTCGGGATAATGGGTCGAAAGACTGCATCCGACGCGCCGTCGATTTTGACCGAGTTGACTCTTACGATGCCCGCTGGTATCTGTAGCGCGGTAGCTTGCGCCACGTTATTACGAATGTTCTTCTGTACCAGCTCATTCTCCTGACCCTGCGCTGTCTGCGGCGTCCATTGCGGATTTTTTAACGGCTGTATCTGCTGCGACGTTTGCTGTGCTTCATCTGCTCGCCTCTCTAGAACCCTGCTTCGAACTAGTTTATTCTGAGGTGCTTCAGAAGGAGCGTTGAAAATCGGTTCAGTCTCCGGTCTCTCCAGGACGGATTCTCGAGGTGCGGACACGCAACGGTCGAATTTAGCGGACAGAAGGAAGAGGGAAATCAAGAAAGCTGATTTTCTAGAAATATCGAAACTCCCCCGCATGATACCACTACCAGTGTGGCGACACAGAGGATTCGAATGCGACTGTGAGTGGCCTGGGTTATTTGGAGGAGTTGACTGCGGTTCCGACATGGATGGCTGTGATAGTGGCTTCCCTGATAGTTACTGTCTTGAGTGGAGCGGAAAGCGAATGTGATTGAACCGTCGGTGAATGAACCATAACTAGCCGGCTCTCGTTGGATAATTTCAGGGGCGACAACTGAAACGCTGAGTGCGGGCTTCACATTCTAAAACTGCGGGGTGAAACATTCACATTCTAAAATGGAGAGGCCAGGGAAGCGGACTGGGGCTAATGGTTTGGTGTTGTGTTGTGTGGCGTTGACTATGGGACTGATGATTAGGGAAATGGCAGCAGCAGGCAGCACACGCAGCGCTTGATGCATGATGCGGTAACCAGGTGCACGATAAGTGTAGGTGACGGAGGAAATAGTGGAAGCACGAGACGAGACGAAACTGGACGATTCATTTTCGCGTGACTTGAGTCAGCTGTTTGCACTCGGAGAGTTACCAGGCTTGAGTTCGTGAACCTCGCTGAAGTCCCCTGTCGCGAGTTGCCTTCCGCCACTGGCCGCCACATGTCTCGGCTGACGGGCTGATGAGTTGGCAGTGAAGAAGTGTGGGTCTGGTTGTTTAGTTGGTTTGGTAGCTGATCAACCACTTCACAGAGTGTTTCGATACAAGTTTGAGATCAAGGGAAGTAATGTTTCATACGATCATCCCTAGAAAAAATGGACAGTTGGCAAATATCGCAACCGTACGGTGTGTATGGAAGAGTGGTTGGGCACCGTTTACCTATATCGAGCACAGTTTATTGGTTGCTTGCCAGTTCAGCAGGCTGCCGGCTCAAACTGCTGGGGTCTCCAACCAAGTGACCACTGACCACACCTGACCACCACACACTCACCACCACTTCGCGTGGTCACCATCTCACACTTCCACTCGAATCAAACACACTCCAGAGAAAAGGGGGTGGGGGGAGGGGGGGGGGGGGGGGGGGGGGGGGGGTGGTTCATAGATTCAGATTTCGTGGTTCGTGGCTCAGGACGGTTCTACATGGTGGAAAGCATTCTTCAAATTATACCGCTTGGCACCGTGACAGAACGAATCAGACCGTAAAGAACGCACAGAAGACATACGACCTGTCCTGTCACATCACGTCACCGCACCACCAACCCAAACCCAGACCAATCCCAAAAACGCGCAGCAGCCACAGCCTAGCTAGCATGCACAGAACAATACAGGACTGTCTTATTGTTATTCGGCATCATGTCTCGTGAGAGACGCTGTGCAGAATCCTTCAGGACATGTCTCGTGTGTTAATCCAGGAGAACCGGAGGTAAAAAGTACCGTCAGGTATTTACACATAAAACATATAGTTAGCGCGGGACGCCCATTCACCACCTCGTGTTTGTGGCGAAATGTCTTCACCTGCTTCGTGAAACCGGTTCTTTCGTCGACGAAACACTCCAAAAGCTCAATCGTGCACCTTCTCATGCTCGCATTCCGCACATTATATCGTTGCGAATCGTTGAAGCATTTACACTACATTTCATAATCCCGTACTACTACGAAACATACATTTCATAACTATTGTTACAATTATTATTCCGACGGCTGCCTCCACAATGAAGCCTCTAAGCGTTCACATGCCGTCGGAATACGTAGAAGACGAGGAACCCTCGCCGGCCTTTCCGCAAACCAGCCTAATCCGTCGAGACCGGGACGACGAGGAGTCCCATTTCGGTAACAATACCAGGGCAAATCCCCCGGAGCCGCCGACAAAAGCCTGTCTAATAGGCCTAACAATTTTCGTCTGTCTCTTAGTCCTCCTCGCTGTCCTAATCGCCATGTGGGGCTTCAGACCAGCGGCTCCTGCGGCGGGAGATGCGGCGATGCAGGCGGAGGGGAAGCGGGTCGACGCGAGCGCGAATGATGGCGGCGCGACTAGCGGCGGCTCGGGGAGCGCGGGGAGCACGGGGGGAAACGGTCAGGCTCCACCGCCGGATCCGCCGCTGCACGACTACAAGGCGGCTTTGAACCTGTGCCTCGATTTCTTCGACGCGCAGAAGAGCGGTGACCTGGCGCTGTGAGTGTTGCTGCTGAGTGTTGGGCGTTGTGAGTGCTGCTGCGAATGCTTTGACCGCTTGGATGCTCCCAAGAGCGGCGACCTGGCGCTGTGAGTGCTGCTGCTGAGTGTTGAGAGACGGCTCAGTAGACTTCAACGGCGTCAAAAGCTTGACCATCTTAAGTTTAAACCGCTTCAATCAACCTTGTGCCAGGGGAGACCTTTTGAGGTGCCTCATAAAACGCTTCAATCAACCTTATATCAACCTTAATCTACTTTTGATTTCTTTGGCGCGCATCAGAACGGCGCCCTCCGCACACAGCCACCTTCCACTTCCCTCCATTCCCTGTCCCCCCACCCCTACTCACATATCCTTGCTTACCCCGCTCCTGTTCCCCCGCGCCCGCTCACCCGCCCCCCTCTCTCCTTCTTCGGTTCCTTCAGCACCTCCCACCCAGCCTGGCGCAACAGCTCGCATGTGAAGGATGGGAGCGCAGTGGGTCGAGACCTGGCAGGGGGGTACTATGGGGATGGGGGGGGAGTGAAGCACACAGGGCTCCTTTACATTTCCTTCCTCTCCCTTGCTCTTTTCGCCCCTTCGCCTCCCCCGCTTCCTCCCTTGCCACAGCACCCCCCACCCCCCCTGGCGCAACAGCTCTCATCTGCAGGATGGGAGCGCCGTGGGGCGAGATCTCGCAGGGGGGTACTATGTGGATGGGGGGGGAGTGAAGCAGACGGGGCTGACTGCATTCGCTATGAGCATGCTGGCTTGGAGCATTGTCGAGTTCGAGTGAGTGCCTTTATGGGGTACGGGTGAGTGGTTATGTGGGATATGGCTGAGCGCTTATGTGGGGTATGGATGAGTTCTTGTAAACGAATATGGGTGGATGTATGATACGGTATGGTACGGTACATTACAGTACGGTATGGTATGGTATGGTGTGGTATGGTATGGTAGGTGAGGTATGCATAACCAAGTGGGCTAGCTGAAGAGCCCACGAGCAGAGGGGAGGATAAATAACCAGTCACCAAAACCAAGGACCAAATGATTTCCTCTTCAATTCTTTCGAGTCGACTCAAATGTCAGGGCTAAGCTCTCGAGTCCACCATATCCCGAGTCCACCATATCCCGAGTCCACCATATCTCGAGTCCACCATATCTCGAGTCCACCATATCTCGAGTCCACCATATCTCTAGTCCACCATATCTCGAGTCCACCATATCTCGAGTCCACCATATCTCGAGTCCACCATATCTCGAGTCCACCATATCTCGAGTCCACCATATCTCGAGTCCACCATATCTCGAGTCCACCATATCTCGAGTCCACCATATCTCGAGTCCACCATATCTCGAGTCCACCATATCTCGAGTCGAGTCCACCATATCTCGAGTCCACCATATCTCGAGTCCACCATATCTCGAGTCCACCATATCTCGAGTCCACCATATCTCGAGTCCACCATATCTCGAGTCCACCATATCTCGAGTCCACCATATCTCGAGTCCACCATATCTCGAGTCCACCATATCTCGAGTCCACCATATCTCGAGTCCACCATATCTCGAGTCCACCATATCTCGAGTCCACCATATCTCGAGTCCACCATATCTCGAGTCCACCATATCTCGAGTCCACCATATCTCGAGTCCACCATATCTCGAGTCCACCATATCTCGAGTCCACCATATCTCGAGTCCACCATATCTCGAGTCCACCATATCTCGAGTCCACCATATCTCGAGTCCACCATATCTCGAGTCCACCATATCTCGAGTCCACCATATCTCGAGTCCACCATATCTCGAGTCCACCATATCTCGAGTCCACCATATCTCGAGTCCACCATATCTCGAGTCCACCATATCTCGAGTCCACCATATCTCGAGTCCACCATATCTCGAGTCCACCATATCTCGAGTCCACCATATCTCGAGTCCACCATATCTCGAGTCCACCATATCTCGAGTCCACCATATCTCGAGTCCACCATATCTCGAGTCCACCATATCTCGAGTCCACCATATCTCGAGTCCACCATATCTTGAGTCCACCATATCTCGAGTCCACCATATCCCGCCCTCCTCTGCCTTCTCCTTCCGTGTCCCCGTCCCCCCTTCCAGTGCCGAGCTCGATGCAACCGGCTGGAAGCAACCAGCCTCGCGCACACATTCGGGGCCCGTCATTATTGCCTTTTATATAATTTTCAGCATCACCATCACCCAAAACTCCCCACCATCGGCGCCGCATCCGACGCTTCTAGGCTCAGCAGTAAACCGAGGCGCCACGAAACGCAATACGACAGCAGACCGAAACTGGCCTGCCCGTATGGCGCGATGCTTCGTGGTATAAAATTCCGCTCTAGCTAAGCAGATCATCATCATTCGGGCCTCATTCAACTAGAACTAGTAGTAGCAGCCATCCCAGCGCCTTGGAATATATTCCCAGAAGCCTCTGAAACTACCGTCAGCCATCCCAGCGATCTGATTCTTATTTCCTATTCAGGCTTCTTTCAGTAAGAAACGCAGCCATGGGTGCGCTTCGCTCGCTCTTCCTGCTCGCCCTCGTCCTCGCCGCGACTCTGAGCCTCGCTGGAGTCTCAGCGGCGCCGCGCCGCGCCCTCGGCAAGGTCAAGGGGGACCCTCCTCAGAAGCCCCTTCCTCCAACTCCTTTCGACCCGAAGAGCTTCCCTGTCGCGTCCAACCCCCCCTCTCCAAGCGGCTCACGGAAGGGCTCCATGGACTCAACCATCTCGTTCGATTCCAAGGCGCCATCCGTGCCCTCACTCGGCGGCTCGCCGTCCCGAAAGGGCTCAGCGGATTCGACCTTCTCCTTCGATTCCAAGGACGGGGGATCCCGCAGGAGCTCCGTGGATTCCGTCTCGCCTGAGCAGTCAAATGGGGAGTGGATTGGCTTTTCAGGGTGGACCTGGGCCGGGGCTATGTCGTGGCTCACGTCTCCACTTTGCTTCCCCATTCTTCTCGTACACCCTTCTAGACCCGAGCTCGAGTCATCTGGGTTGAAGCAGCGGGCAGTGGACCTACTCAAATGGGGCGTGGACTGGCTGCTCATGGCAAACCATGAAAGGGCGGACCCGGGCCGCGGCTGTGTTGTAGGTCAACCCGACCTCAACCATTTCCCATTTCCCCACCCCTTCCCCTTTCCAGTCCCGAGCTCGAGTCATCTGGGTTGAAGCAGCGGGCAGTGGACCTACTCAAATGGGGAGTGGATTGGTTGCTCATGGCGGATTTGGGCCGGGGCTGTGTCGTGGCGCAAGTGGGTGACTCTGCCGCCCAGGACTCGTGCTGGCAGCGGCCAGAAGACGACTCTGCCGCCCGGCCGGTGTACACGGTGGTGGGCGCGAACGGGCCGGGGGCGGCGGTTCTGGCTGACATGTCGGCTGCCTTTGCTGCAGGTGAGATGCCTTGGGTGTGGGTGAGGTGAGATAGTGTGTGCGATGTAAAGTCCCAGAATGAGTCTATCCGTGAGTGCGGGCTTGAGGTGTGCAGCGTGCAGTATGCCTGCTTTGGGGGGTAGAGGGGCCATGGGCAGCGACACCACTGACCCCTTGGCTACTGCTGGTGAGATGAGAATCACGAGTTGCCTTGGCCGCATGCGCCTACTTGCTGTGGAACCACACACAGAGGGCACTCCCCACACTTCCGCTCCCCACACTTAGGAGTTAAACCCCGGATATGCTGCCTTGCTGCGGGGCGACGGAACGCCCCCCTTTCCCTACTCCCGCTTCTTTCCCCTTTTGTGACCCCACTTCCGCCCCTCGCCCCCTTCTCCGCACCAACACCCCATCCGCACACGTACTCGGCGAGTTAAACCCCGGATATGCTGCCTTGCTGCAGGACCACGCCACCATTCCCAACTCCTGCTACTCTCCCCCTCTATGCCCCAACTTCCGTTCTTCACACTCCCCTCCTTCCGAACCAGCCTCGCATGTGTTCGGCGAGTTTGACCCCGGATACGCCGCCTCGCTGAGGGACCACGCTACCATGCTCTTTGAACTCGCCACCACCGCCACCTCCACCGATGAGTGAGTGAGCGGCTTCCCCTTTGCCTGCCCCCCTGCCTGCCCCTCCGCCTGCCTCTCTTCTCTGCCTGTCCCTTGCCACTCACCATCTCCACCATGCTCTTTGAACTCGCCACCACCGCCACCTCCACGGATGAGTGAGCGAGCTGCCCCTATCTCTGTCCCTCTGCCTGCCGCTCTGCCTCTCCATTGCGCCCCCGTTCCCTCTCGCTATGCACCACGCCACCATGCTCTTTGAACTCTCCACCACCGCCACGCCATCTCCACGAATGTGTGATGAGTCGATTTTTAAGTCGACTTAAAAACCATCTCCACGAATATGTGATGAGCCGATTTTTAAGTCGACTTAAAAACCATCTCCACGAATGTGGGAGCTGCCTCGCTGCCTCTCTGCCTCTCTGCCTCTCTGCCTCTCTGCCTCTCTGCCTCGCTGCCTCGCTGCCTCGCTGCCTCTCTGCCTCGCTGCCTCGCTGCCTCTCTGCCTCTCTGCCCCTCTGCCTCTCTGCCTCTCTGCCTCTGCCTCTCTGCCTCTCTGCCTCTCTGCCTCTCTGCCTCTCTGCCTCTCTGCCTCGCTGCCTCGCTGCCTCTCTGCCTCTCTGCCTCTCTGCCCCTCTGCCTCTCTGCCTCTCTGCCTCTCTGCCTCTCTGCCTCTCTGCCTCTCTGCCTCTCTGCCTCTCTGCCTCTCTGCCTCTCTGCCTCGCTGCCGAGCTGCCTCTCTGCCTCTCTGCCTCTCTGCCTCTCTACCTCTCTGCCTCGCTGCCTCGCTGTCTCTCTGCCTCTCTGCCTCTCTGCCTCTCTGCCTCTCTGCCTCGCTGCCTCGCTGCCTCGCTGCCTCGCTGCCTCGCTGCCTCTCTGCCTCGCTGCCTCGCTGCCTCGCTGCCTCTCTGCCTCGCTGCCTCGCTGCCTCGCTGCCTCGCTGCCTCTCTGCCTCGCTGCCTCGCTGCCTCGCTGCCTCTCTGCCTCTCTGCCTCTCTGCCTCTCTGCCTCTCTGCCTCGCTGCCTCGCTGCCTCGCTGCCTCTCTGCCTCTCTGCCTCTCTGCCGCTCTGCCTCTCTGCCTCTCTGCCTCGCTGCCTCGCTGCCTCGCTGCCTCGCTGCCTCGCTGCCTCGCTGCCTCGCTGCCTCTCTGCCTCTCTGCCTCTCTGCCTCTCTGCCTCTCTGCCTCTCTGCCTCTCTGCCTCTCTGCCTCTCTGCCTCGCTGCCTCGCTGCCTCTCTGCCTCGCTGCCTCTCTGCCTCGCTGCCTCGCTGCCTCTCTGTCTCTCTGCCTCTCTGCCTCCCTGCCTCTCTGCCTCTCTGCCTCTCTGCCCCTCTGCCTCTCTGCCTCTCTGCCTCTCTGCCTCTCTGCCTCCCTGCCTCCCTGCCTCTCTTCCTCTCTGCCTCTCTGCGTTGCTGCCTCTCTGCCTCTCTGCCTCGCTACCTCGCTGCCTCTCTGCCTCGCTGCCTCGCTGCCTCGCTGCCTCTCTGCCTCTCTGCCTCTCTGCCTCTCTGCCTCTCTGCCTCTCTGCCTCTCTGCCTCGCTGCCTCGCTGCCTCTCTGCCTCGCAGCCTCGCTGCCTCGCTGCCTCTCTGCCTCTCTGCCTCTCTGCCTCGCTGCCTCGCTGCCTCGCTGCCTCGCTGCCTCGCTGCCTCGCTGCCTCGCTGCCTCTCTGCCTCTCTGCCTCGCTGCCTCGCCGCCTCGCCGCCTCGCTGCCTCGCTGCCTCGCTGCCTCTCTGCCTCGCTGCCTCGCTGCCTCGCTGCCTCTCTGCCTCGCTGCCTCGCTGCCTCGCTGCCTCTCTGCCTCTCTGCCTCTCTGCCTCTCTGCCTCGCTGCCTCGCTGCCTCTCTGCCTCTGCCTCTCTGCCTCTCTGCCTCTCTGCCTCTCTGCCTCTCTGCCTCTCTGCCTCTCTGCCTCTCTGCCTCTCTGCCTCCCTGCCTCTCTGCCTCTCTGCCTCTCTGCCTCTCTGCCTCTCTGCCTCTCTGCCTCTCTGCCTCTCTGCCTCCCTGCCTCTCTGCCTCTTTGCCTCCCTGCCTCTCTGCCTCCCTGCCTCTCTGCCTCCCTGCCTCTCTGCCTCCCTGCCTCTCTGCCTCTCTCCCCTTCCGCCCTCTACAGTGCCCCATTGCTCCCACCCGCCATGCATTACGCCACCATGCTCGTCACCCTAGCCACCACACGACCTTCACCCTCGTTTTTTCTCGCCATTCACCGTGCCATCATGCCGTGTGCACCACCCCCACCTCCACCCCCACCTCCACCCCCACCTCCACCCCCACCTCCACCCCTACTGACGAGTGAGCTTTTCTTCTGCCTACCTCTCTGCCTCTCTACCCTTGCTCAGGGCTCATACCATTGCTCAGGTCAGGGCTTGCTCACACCCCTTGCCAAAGCTCATGCCCTTGTGAGCTGGTTGCTCTCTTCTCCCTTGTTCGTGCAACGAGGTGACTTTTGAGTCGACTCAAAAGTCGGCTCATGCCCTTGTGAGCGGGTTGCTCTCTTCTCCCTTGTTCGTGCAACGAGGTGACTTTTGAGTCGACTCAAAAGTCGGCTCATGCCCTTGTGAGCGGGTTGCTCTCTTCTCCCTTGTTCGTGCAACGAGGTGACTTTTGAGTCGACTCAAAAGTCGGCTCATGCCCTTGTGAGCGGGTTGCTCTCTTCTCCCTTGTTCGTGCAACGAGGTGACTTTTGAGTCGACTCAAAAATCGGCTCATGCCCTTGTGAGCGGGTTGCTCTCTTCTCCCTTGTTCGTGCAACGAGGTGACTTTTGAGTCGACTCAAATGTCGGCTCATGCCGTTGTGAGCGGGTTGCTCTCTTCTCCCTTGTTCGTGCAACGAGGTGACTTTTGAGTCGACTCAAAAGTCGGCTCATGCCCTTGTGAGCGGGTTGCTCTCTTCTCCCTTGTTCGTGCAACGAGGTGACTTTTGAGTCGACTCAAAAGTCGGCTCATGCCCTTGTGAGCGGGTTGCTCTCTTCTCCCTTGTTCGTGCAACGAGGTGACTTTTGAGTCGACTCAAAAATCGGCTCATGCCCTTGTGAGCGGGTTGCTCTCTTCTCCCTTGTTCGTGCAACGAGGTGACTTTTGAGTCGACTCAAATGTCGGCTCATGCCGTTGTGAGCGGGTTGCTCTCTTCTCCCTTGTTCGTGCAACGAGGTGACTTTTGAGTCGACTCAAAAGTCGGCTCATGCCCTTGTGAGCGGGTTGCTCTCTTCTCCCTTGTTCGTGCAACGAGGTGACTTTTGAGTCGACTCAAAAGTCGGCTCATGCCCTTGTGAGCGGGTTGCTCTCTTCTCGTTTTTTAGGCGCCTCAAAAACGACCCTTGTGAGCTGGATGCTCTCTTCTCCCTTGTTCGTGCAACCCCCACCAGCACGGCCCTACCAGGAACTCTCCCCTACGAGCCACCCCCATCCTCCTCGCCTGACTTTCACGATGAGCTGCTGTGGGCGGCTGCTTGGCTGTGGCGCACTACCATGTCCGACCCCCTGCATCAATACCTGCTCAAAGTGAGTTTCCTTCCCTCCCCATCTGGTGGGTGCGGCGTGCCGACCTTCCCTACTTGCTGCTGGCACGGCTATGGCACACCACCATGTCCAACCGACCGACCCCCTGCATCAATACCTGCTCAAGGTGGGTTCCTTTGAAGCTGGTGGGTTCCATCTTATCTTTCCTCACTCCTTTGCTACTGCCATGGCTCTGGCACACCACCATGTCCAAGTTCCAACCCCCTGCACCAGATGAGTCGGTTTTTGAGTCGACTAAAAAACAGGCGCACTTCCATGTCCAACCCCCTGCACCAGTACCTGCTCAACGTGTGTTCTCGTCCCATCTGCTGCTAGCCTGCTACCTCCACTGCTGCTGCGGTGCCTGTGTCAAATGCTGCTGCCATGGCTCTGGCACACCGCCATGTCCAACCCCCTGCACCAGTACCTGCTCAAGATGTGTTCCCATATCACCTGGTGGGTCGTTTTTGAGGCGCCTCAAAAACGACCTCCCTGCACCAGTACCTGCTCAAGGTGCGTTCCCATATCACCTGGTGGGTCGTTTTTGAGGCGCCTCAAAAACGACCTCCCTGCACCAGTACCTGCTCAAGGTGCGTTCCCATATCACCTGGTGGGTCGTTTTTGAGGCGCCTCAAAAACAACCTCCCTGCACCAGTACCTGCTCAAGGTGCGTTCCCATATCACCTGGTGGGTCGTTTTTGAGGCGCCTCAAAAACGACCTCCCTGCACCAGTACCTGCTCAAGGTGCGTTCCCATATCACCTGGTGGGTGCCTACTGTCCCAACTTGTCACTGCCACGGCTCTGGCGCACCACCATGTCCGACCCCTTGCACCAGTACTGCTGCAGGTGCGTTCCCCCTACTCATGGTGGGTTCCCTCCTTATAGCCCCCTCTTGGTTGCTACGGGCATGGCTCTGGCGCACCACCATGTCTGACCCCCTGCACTAGTTCTTGCCCAAGGAGAGCTCTCTTTCTCAAGGTGAGCTCTCTTGCTCAAGGTGAGCTCTCTTGCTCAAGGTGAGCTCTCTTGCTCATGGTAAGCTCTCTTGCTCAAGGTGAGCTCTCTTGCTCAAGGTGAGCTCTCTTGCTCAAGGTGAGCTCTCTTGCTCATGGTAAGCTCTCTTGCTCAAGGTGAGCTCTCTTGCTCATGGTAAGCTCTCTTGCTCAAGGTAAGCTCTCTTGCTCAAGGTGAGCTCTCTTGCTCAAGGTGAGCTCTCTTGCTCATGGTAAGCTCTCTTGCTCAAGGTGAGCTCTCTTGCTCATGGTAAGCTCTCTTGCTCAAGGTGAGCTCTCTTGCTCATGGTAAGCTCTCTTGCTCAAGGTGAGCTCTCTTGCTCATGGTAAGCTCTCTTGCTCAAGGTGAGCTCTCTTGCTCATGGTAAGCTCTCTTGCTCAAGGTGAGCTCTCTTGCTCATGGTAAGCTCTCTTGCTCAAGGTGAGCTCTCTTGCTCATGGTAAGCTCTCTTGCTCAAGGTGAGCTCTCTTGCTCATGATGAGCGCTGCTGGTGCATCTACGTTCCTTTGCTGCATGGTGAACGCTGCTGCATGCACATCACTTTTGTTACCACCTTTGGTCGGTTCTCAAAGCTTTGAGGTGCTGTAGTTTTGTTCTGCGTCCTTTCCTTCTCTTCTTCCTCCAATCCACATATTCCCCTTCTACAAAACCCCAGCCACAGCATTCGTCTCTGCCCTACACGCTTGCCTTCACTCACGCCAACAAGGCAGCGGGGGCGTTACAAATCCTTACAACAAGACAGCAGTGCTGCTGGCGACGTTCGTGCTGGGATGGGGCCCATGGAGGAGGAGGACGAGGCGACCACACAGGCGTATGTGTGTGTTTTGGCGCATCTCAAAGGTCTCTTCTCCCCTCCCACCCCTCTCAACCCACCAGCCCCTGCTAGATTCGCTCCAGTACACGCTCGCCTTCACTCACGCCAACAAGGCAGCGGGGGCAGCAGTGTTGCTGCTGGCGACGTTCGTTTTGGGCCTATGGAAGAGGAGGAGGACGAGGCGGCCACACAGGCGTGCCAGTTTTGAGCCATCTCTTCACTCTCTCTTCTCCCCTTCCACCCCTCTCAACCCATCAGCCCCAGCATGCATCATTGTCCTACTCGCTCAACTTCACTCACGCCAACAAGGCAGCGGGGGCAGCAGTGCTGCTGCTGGCGACGTTCGTTTTGGGCCCTATGGAAGAGGAGGACGAGGCGGCCACACAGGCGTGCCAGTTTTGAGCCGTCTCTTCACTCTCTCTTCTCCCCTTCCACCCCTCTCAACCCATCAGCCCCAGCATGCATCATTGTCCTACTCGCTCAACTTCACTCACGCCAACAAGGCAGCGGGGGCAGCAGTGCTGCTGGCGACGTTCGTTTTGGGCCCTATGGAGGAGGAGGACGAGGCCACCACTCAGGCACACTCTAGTGCGCGCACCAACACACACTAACGCATACCACCTGCTCTGCTTCCACTTTGGTTCCCCCAACCTTCCTATTCCTCCCTTTGAATCCCCAGCCCCAGCATGCGTCGCTGCCCTATTTGCTCGCCTTCACTCACGCCAACAAGGCAGCGGGGGCAGCGGTGCTGCTGGCGACGTTCGTTTTGGGACCCATGGAGGAGGAGGACGAGGCCACCACACAGGCATCTGGGGCTGACGTCATCTTCAGATTCCAGAAGCTCATGGAAGCTTCCATCTGTGCTTCCACAGCTGACGTGCCATCCAGGACCAGTGCTGAGACTCTAGCCCAGAACATGCCCAAAACGCAAGGTAAGATGGCGTGTGTGTGTCTGATTGCGTGTGTGTGGCTGGCTGTTAACCGGTGGAATTCTGCTGCTGGCAATGCTGTTGGGGCCTTGGGATGGGGCAGCTCAAAACTCCACGGGGGAAGGGGAGGGGGAGGAGGAGGATGAGGCCACCACACACACAAGCATCTGACGCGAATGTCATCTTCAGATTCCAGAAGCACATTGAGGCGTCCGCCTCAAAAACGACCTCAGAAGAATGTTGAGGCGTCCATCTCAACACTCAATCTCGCTTCCTTTCCTGTGCTCCCCAGCCTATGTTTTTCTAGAATTCTCAAAAAGCATACGCTGCATCTCAACACTCTCTCTCGCTTCCTTTCCTGTGCTCCCCAACCCCCTCCCCTCGTCTCATTCAACCCCACACCAGGAGGGCTGCTATGGCTGGACGAGAATGAGCCGCTGCATGCAGCAGTGCAGGCAGCCTTTCTTCTCAACACTTACTCTCGCTTCCTCAAGCAAGGCGCAGAGGACGAGGGGCGGTGCTCTGGCGTGTCACCACATGCCGTGTCAACACTCTCTCGCTCCCAGGTGAGGTCACAGGAGTTGAACGCACGCAGCAACACAGGCAGCCTTTCTTCTCAACACTTACTCTCGCTTCCTCAAGCAAGGCGCAGAGGACGAGGGGCGGTGCTCTGGCGTGTCACCACATGCCGTGTCAACACTCTCTCGCTCCCTGGTGAGGTCACAGGAGTTGAACGCACGCAGCAACACAGGCAGCCTTTCTTCTCAACACTTACTCTCGCTTCCTCAAGCAAGGCGCAGAGGACGAGGGCCGGTGCTCTGGCTTGTCACCACATGCCGTGTCAACACTCTCTCGCTTCCAGGTGAGGTCACAGGAGTTGAACGCACACAGCAACACAGGCAGCCTTTCTTCTCAACACTTACTCTCGCTTCCTCAAGCAAGGCGCAGAGGATGAGTGGCGGTGCTCTGCCGTGTCAGCACTCTCTCCCTCCCAGGTCCGTGCCATCACAGCACTCTCGCACGGTCGCAAGTGAGGGCAGAAAATATGCTCTATGAGACGGCCCAAATGCATTGTGTAGCTCGAACATTTCCACATCAGATTTACAAAACTGTGTTGTACTGAATGATCCAAGGATGTTGATTGGTGGTGAATAATGATACTCTGTTATCTTTCTGTCGCTTCAAGCAAAAAATCTTATGTCGCCTCCCTGTTTGTTATTCAGATTGACTATCTTCTAGGGTCTAATCCGCAACAACTCAGCTACATGGTGGGCTTTGATGAGAAATACCCCAAGTTTGTTCGCCATCGAGGAGCGTCGATTCCATCCCTGGCATCCGATCCAACGGTGTACACATGCTCATCGGGTCAACAGTGGCTGCAAAGCAGCTCACCCAACCCTAACATACTCTCAGGTGCACAAACCACACTTGATTACTGTAGAATTGTAGAATGGAATATTTCTACATTTTGCACACTATGTTGACCATTTTGCTGTGTTTCTTGTATTCGCTGTCTGCAGGAGCGGTGGTAGGAGGGCCAGACCACAGCGACATTTTCAATGACTCGAGAGTCAATCGCCTAAATGAACCGGCTATTTACATAAATGCTGCCCTTGTTGGCCTGCTCGCTTCGTTCAGTAGTCCATAATCTTTAGTCCGGTGGCATCCATTCATTCCATTCACATATTGTGTTGTGGCTGTCATTTTGGATCACAACATGGTGCATACAAAATGACATGTGAATTGATTAAAAGCCAATTTTCTGAACCTACTGTTTTTCTGGATAAGAGTTATCCACTGATTAGAGTCTGGTTGAACTTTGTACCAGGTTGATTTGTTAATATTGGTGTCATGGATGAAGAGTTGGAGATATTGTAGAGGGTCATTGCATACGTAGTGAGTGATCACGCAATGCCTGTACCGAGGAGCCGCATAGGTCAACACAGGCTGTATTGACCTACAGCCATGGGTTCAGAGCAATTTGTTTTACATTTAGAGTGGTAAGCTGGATAGAAAATGCAGTGGCACAGCCACATGGCAGGTCCGATACCGTATTTCTTCAGGTGAGTTTCCTGTGGGATTTAGATGGTTGTAAAGCGGCTCAGCGCGGCAGATAAAGGGAATTCGCTTGAATACACAGCATCGTACTGAACCGTTCAGACTCCGCGTGTCTGAGGTTCCTCGATGCCAAAATCCCCTCACTCACAGCACAGCTGCTTCCACACTCTCCCACTTGCGCGTCGCGCGCTTGCTCCCCCCGTTAGTTGCCTCACTGCTTGCCATGCCTCACGCAGCCATGGCGGCTGAAACACAGCAGCAACTTGTGGCGGGAGGTGCGTATGGCTGCGAAGCCGGCCTACAGCTGTGGGACCCTCCTGACTTCGGAGAAATTGAAATCGGCATGGCTGATACACCCTCTTTCTCGCCATTGTGAACCCGGTTATAGTGAAGTCAAGATGGGAAAAGCACGGTTAACGGTGGTTAGATTAAGTCTAGGTATGGTTCAATCAGACAGATCGAAGGTAACTAGGTTTTCCATCAGTTCAGCACAGTTCAGTGTAGTGAGAAACAGGGTGTAGGAGAGTTTTGAAAAAAAGTATTGGTGGTCCCTTCCACGACACGAGCCAGAGTCGGTCCGTCGTTGTCAGATCAGAATAGAGTGCACGTGCCTTACTTATGGCGCGAACCAGCATATCCTAACAGACAAGCCACCTCCGTTGCTCTCTCCTGTTCCGCAAAGCTTCTCGCACCTCGTCAAATTCCCTTCTCACAAGTTCTAACGTAGGCGAGCTTTGTCCCTCCACAATACTCGTATTCTCATTACACCTGATTCTGAGACGTGAGACGGACCGGAGATTTTCGGCATCCTTCGCCTTGCCACCGAAAAGGATCTTGTAGTGGCCTTGTCACACATTTCCACGCGAAGAATTCCCTCTTCCTCACATTCGCTCACCTTCGCTCATGTTCGCTCAGGCTCGCTCGGGTTCGCTCCGCATTCTCGTCTGATAGATGCGGTAACCTGCCTCGTTAATGTTCCGCACTTGAGCACTAGAGCGTCCCCGTAGGCTTCACAACAAAGAGACTAGTTTTGCGGATCGCTCCGATGGCCTCGCATCTCCGCTCATTCCCATCTCCCAGCTTTCCGCGACAAACCGCGAGCTCCCGCCAGTCCTCCTCTTCGTCCTCCTCCTCCTCTTCTGCAACTCGTACGTTCATACAACGGTTATCGTCGTCCTCCTCATCATCATCCTCCTCCCCTTCCTCCTCCTCCTGCTCCTCCTTTCTACGGTCCTCCTCGCACAATTCCAGAAGACGGCTAATCGGCTCCTACTGGCGATGCTCTTCGCAAATCTTCGCAATCTTCGTGGCTGCTGTTTTCGTTCGTGCGACAAGTGCGGGACAGGATTCACGAAGGAGCCTGATCGGCCACGACCAGACGTCTCAGGTGCCAGCGACGGTTCTATTATCGCCAGATCCGGTCTTTCCTAACGTGCTGGGTCGCATCAAGCTTTACGAAGAGGACGGAATGAGCAGCCAATTAAAGATCGCGGCGAGCGGTGCGAAGTCGCAGCAACAAGTCTCATCGTCGCAAGAGTCGTCGAAACCGTCGCCAACGTCGCCGTCGGCGCCAGCGGCGTGCGATCTGGAGGATGGGTCGTGGGAGGTTGACGACTCGTGGCCGCTCTACCAATCCGAGAGCTGCCCGTTCGCGCGGGAAGAAACGATGTGCGCGAAATACGGGAAACCTAACTTAGACTATGCGAAGCTGAGATGGGTGCTGACTGGCGAACGTGGTAACCCTGACGGCGGCTCTGGCGACAGCAGCGAAAAATGCTCAGTTCCAAAGGTCACGGGTTCGAATCTCTGCAAACGCGTCGCAGGGCACCGCATAGCGTTCGTGGGGGACTCGTTATCGCAAAACGCGTTTGAGTCTATGGCGTGCTTGATGCACCGATTCACGGGAATGCCGGAAGTGCGGCTGAACAAACACCGCGATCGTATGTACCACTGGCATCAGTGCAACTTCACAATCGCGTTCTCGTTGTAAGCAGACCCGATATGCCTTGTGTCACCCACTTTCCTCTTCGTTGTGTCGACGTGTTTCCTCCACATATTCCATCCTGTATCCCCCTCTCCTCCGCCGCTTTCTGCCATTTACCCATGCATCCCCTCTTGCCCCATTTTCTTCCCTTCCCTCCTTCCCTTCCCCCATTTCCTTCCGCTTGCTCCTGTGCCCCATATTTTCTTCTTTTCCTCTCTCTATCCCCATCTCCTTTTCATAATCTAAACTCTTCCTATCTCCCCTGACTCCCTTCCCTCCCCTCCCCCTCCTGCCCCCCGGTAGTCTTTCCGCTCATTCCTCTCCGTCCCCCTTTCTCCACACCCCTTTTCCCCGTCCGCGAATCTGCAGCCACCAGTTTCTGGCCGAGGTGGCATGGAACAAGGTCAAGGTTTCAGATGGAGGTGCCATCCTGCTGGACCAATCAGGGAAGAGATGGACGAAGCACATTCAAGCCTTCAACACGTTTGTCATCAACTCAGGTAAGGAAGCAATCACCAAAGCACACACTAATGCAGTCACTGATGCAATCGCCAACGCATCACTGAAACGATCGCAGAAGCTGCAACCTTCGCAAGCTAAGCACTTAGATGTACTATCACTCAGTGAAAGAAAAAGCACTTGTGCATGCTTAGTGTGTGTGACGAAGGACCTGACTTGCTCTGGCTCTCACGCATCCCTCCGATCTCCCACGCTCCTCCATATCACCCAAACAAACCTCATATCTCTCCTACGCACCTCACGCATCCCTCATATCACCCACACATCCATCATATCACCCACACATCATTCATATCACCCACACGTCCCTCACAACACCCACACATCCATCATATCACCCACACATCCCTCATATCACCCACACATCCCTCATATCTCACACCCATCATAGGTCCCAAGCACCTGTCATACCTCCTGCAAACCTATCATATATCCAAAGCAATCCTCATACCTCCACACCACCCACCCACATCTCCCATACCCTGCACCTCTCCCATACCCCTCACATTTCCCACACACCCCTCATATCTGCCAGCCCATTTCATGGCTCGCCACTCCTTGCAGCCCTTTGTTTTCAGCCACTGCTCCTTTTATTCTCCTTCTTCCATCCACTCCTCCATCTCGCCCATTTCCATGCATGAGACTGTGCAAAACAGCAACAATACATTCACTAGACATGTCACTCGTGTGTTCCCTTCCTGCTGTTAACTTTCTACATGTTATGAACGTATTGACTATCCTGCCCTCACTTCTCTCCCTGCTTACCCTCCAGGCCATTGGTGGTCGGAATGCCAACTCGCCCGCTACAACACCACCCTTGCACCTCCGTACAAGTCGCTCCAGTTTCTTCCTTCCATGTGTTACCAGCATATTAAAATGTTGCCCGCCCCTCCCTCCCTGCTTACCCTTTCAGGCCATTGGTGGTCGGAATGCCAACTCGCCCGCTACAACATCACCCTTGCACCTCCGTACAAGTCGCTCCAGTTTCTTCCTTCCATGTGTTACCAGCTTATTAAAATGTTGCCCGCCCCTCCCTCCCTGCTTACCCTTTCAGGCCATTGGTGGTCGGAACGCCAACTCGCCCGCTACAACATCACCCTCGCACCTCCATACAAGTCGCTCCACTATCTGCTAGCATATCGCCGCGCCCTCAACCAAACGCTGTCCGAGTTTCTGCGCCCAGAACTCGCTAGCAAACAGGTTTTCTTCACCACATCTGCCCCGTCCCACGACATTCACGGACTCTGCCCAGAAAGAAAAGTGGTCAAGAAGACTGACACAAAGCGGTTCAAGAGGATGCGACTCCCTTGGACGGTTGAAAAGAATACAGTCCTAGTTGATGTTGTTCGGGGGTTTGAGGAGAAGCAAGTGCGGGCGGCTAAAGGGTTCCAGGGGGCAAGAATAAAGCTCCTGGACATGTACAACGTGACACTGTATAGGCAAGAGGCGCACCCGTCGACGTTCAATGCGAGAGGTAATTGGGACTGCTTGCACTACTGCTTGCCGGGAGTGCCGGATGCTTGGAATGAGATTCTGCTCTGGCAGATGGAGGCTGGAAAGCCCAAAACCAAAAGGCCATGAACTGTTGATGTGTTGCTTGCGATATGTTAAGGGTATAGAAAGCGTATTGCATGAAGAAATTTTGCCTTGGGTATTGATATCACTAATGTTAGGAATCTTAGGAAGTGGGGTTATTATACGAATGGTCACTGAACAGAGCACGCTAACACAAATGGTCGCAGGGTTATCACGAACGGTCATTGAAACGGGCAAATCTATCACAGGTGGTCACTGATTTATCACGGGTAGTCACTCGTCGCCCAATGAGGCTACGGTATCACGAATAGTCGCTGAAAGAAACGCCCGCCCGAAAGTTGAAATGCTTCCCCATGCGTTATCACACTGTTGCGATTTAGGGACTATTAGCGCGTTAATTCTGTTTGTCGTTTTAGTTGCAGCACTGTTTCTGTCTCATGGCGCCATTTTGTCTGTAGTGTTGCGAGACGTTGTTACCTACGAAATACTTTTCGTGACCACTCTTGCGAAATCGTTAAAAATCTCGCGAAATTTCTTGGCAACATTGGAAAGTTAGTTCGATTGTCCACTGTTTGATTTATGCATAATGTCCTAAGAAAAGCACTTTTAGACGGGTGAAACTCGAAGTTTCTTTTTGTTCTAAGGAAAAAACTAAAACCCATTCGGATGGGATTTTCACCGGGAGGAATCAACCCTAAACACATTTCGCATGGTGTTTAGGGTTGATGTTGTGAAGAATGAAACGAGAGAAAAAGAAATGAAGAAGAAGGGGGGTTTCACTAGCAGCAATGAGGATATATATAGCAAACCCTAGATGGGTTGTACCCGCTATAGAGCACCCCACTACAGGCTAGAGAATAACATTCTGACACACCCCCATAGCAAAACTGGGGTGTAATCAGCACAAAGAGCAAGCAGGCATAGAGCAAGAGTTCATAATAGGTAAGCAAGGCTAGAGCTAATCACAGAGGGCAAGTGAGGAGGAGGAGAGACTGTGGGGGAGAGAAGATGGGAGACGACTGCTGACGCTGCAAACACACAGACGAGCTGCTGGCTCAGTGGCTACCGAAGCAAAGGCCCGGACTACAGGAGTAACTGGCTCCGCGGCTAAAAGTAGCGGCAGACGAGCAACTGACCCACAGGCGACTGGCGACTACCGGAGATTGTAGCCTCCGGACTGCTGGTGCTGCTGATGACAACACTGCTACCTCCACTCAACCTCCCCCAGCTGCCCAACGCCCCTCTCACACACCCCCTGGTCAAACCCTAGCCCTACACCCACAGCACCCCCTTAAACCATAAACCCCAGACTCACACACATCCACCTCCCTCCAAACCCTAGCTCCACTCCCACAGCACCCCCCTTAAACCCTAAACCCCAGGCTCCCACACATCCACCCCCCTCAGCGACAGCTGCAGCATTGGGAGACGAAGGAGGAGGAGGAGCAGGGGAGACCACACACCCGTCACCCCCTACTCGCCACCCCCAGACCCTAACATAGGGCAGGGCGGGACGGCGGGTAGGGAGGTTGGGGGGGGAAGGCGACGCGCGGCCTCCCAGGGCGCCAAAGCAGGCGGCAGAAGGGGCGACGCTCGCCCCCCTCCCCCAGGTCGCCCCTCGACAGGCGACGGGAAAATAGGGGGGGGCGGTGCACGTGCCCCCGGTGCGCCGCGACCGGCGACGAAGCATGGTCGGGGCGGGGCCGGAGCAGGGTCGAGGAAGGGCCGAAAGGGGCGGCGACGGGGCCGTTGAAAGGGCGGCGACGGGGCCGTTGAAAGGGCGGCGACGGGGCTGCGGAAGGGCGGCGACGGGGCCGCTGAAGGGCGGCGACGGGGCCGCTGAAGGAGCGGTGACGGGGCTGCTGAAAGGCGGCGACGGGGCCGCTGAAAGAGCGGCGACGGGGCCGCAGCAAGGGGCGGCGACGGGGCTGCTGGCGGCGGCGACGGGGCCGCGAAGGGGCCGCGAGAGGCTTGGAAGGGCGGCGACGGGCCGCGAAAGGGGCGGCGACGGGGCCGCGAAGGGGCCACGAGGGGCCGAGAAAGGCGGCGACGGGGCCGCTAAGTGTAGGGCGAGGGGCACGCTAGAGGGCGTGGAGTGAACAGAGTAGCGGCGGAAGTAGTTAGGTCCTAGGATAGGAACCACTCTGATAACATGTGAAGAATGAAACGAGAGAAAAAGAAATGAAGAAGAAGGGGGGTTTCACTAGCAGCAATGAGGATACATATAGCAAACCCTAGATGGGTTGTACCCGCTATAGAGCACCCCACTACAGGCTAGAGAATAACATTCTGACAGGTGCTTCCCAAAAGGTGTGCCGTCCTATAGTTGTTTGTTTTTTTCTTCAGTCCTAGATTTCATGCGAGAATCATGCGAGAGGTATCAAGCAATCGAATTTAAGATTCTTCAAAATCTCCACAGTTTTTCCTAAGGGAGTTTCAACTTTCCTTAACGGTTTCATCGAGTGACCATTCGTGATAGAAATGCGGAGCAGTGAGTGACTATCCATGATAGTACTATGATCATCCGTGATAGATTTGCCCGTTTCAATGACCGTTCGTGATAACCCTGTGACCATATGTGATAGCGCGCCCTTAATAGTGACTATCTATATAATTACCCTTAGGAAGCGCACCCACCATTAGAAAGAAGCACCAGGCTTTCTAGCAGCGAGTTAGTGCAAATGCGTAAACATGATACTGCATTGTGGTGCTTTTCGTATGACGAGGTCAATAATCGCTTTCTGTATTGCTTCCACCGACTACCGCTGACTCGTTCGCGGCAAGCCCAAGAGGGGTCAGTAGCTTTCGCATGGGTACTACTAGCGACACTGCGCTTTCAAGGGGACTACAGTACTATATGCGGGCACTTTCCGCCACTCCGACAGGAACATTATAGCAACAACCCAGAACTCGGTCCCACATTCACCCACGTGTCACAAATTTCGCAAGCCGCCGGAAAAAATATCCCTTTACCTGTCCGAAAAAATCTAAAACCCAATCGGGAAGGGATGTGTCTCGGGGAGGCATCAACCCTAAAAAAATGTGGGTTCCAATGTTTAGGGTTGATCCCTCCCGAAAATGAGTCCAGGTTCCCTATGGGTTTTTTTTTTTTTTTTTTGCCGCGCGTTTTATAAATTTCCAAATTTGTGACACGTGGGTGAATTTGGGGAAGAGTTCTGTGTTGTTTCTATAATTCCCCTGTCTGAGGTACGGAGGGGCGGAAAGTGCCCCCAGCTGGCACTGTAGCTTCCTAGAAAGCGCGGGGTCCCTAGTAGTACCCCCGCGAAAGCTACTTACCCGCCCAAGAGTCCTCATCAGCAACACAGGCCACTTGTTTCTGACATCTGCCCCTCACTGAACCTCCTGACCGAACCTTGGCAAACCCGAACCCAGACTTTTGAGGCTCATAAAATATGTGACTGGACTTTTCTGTACACTTCGGTGATTTTGGGGTTGAGTTCGGTGCTGTACGTTATGTAGCAGTTCGCTCGTTTATTTTCTGGATGTGGCCAGTACTGACCAAGGAAGCTAGGAGGAACTACCGTATTTGCCAGCATTACCTTAATCAGCAGCATATGATCGACAGTCCTGCTATTTATGTTTCAGTCTCACCTTTCCAGCATTTTCTCCCTCCAGCTTTCCTGTTAGCTTCAGAATTGAAGGCTGGGTGCATGAGCATGTGCGTCCACGATCTAGGTTGCAGCTTTCTGTGTCAATATGTGGATTCTTTATTATTTAGGATGTATAATACTGCCTCCAAATTCCCCAGCGAAAAACTGTGAAGCCGCCTGCACTTTCAACAACGGCCTCATTCGAATAGCGTGTCAGTATAGCCAAACTCCACGTGTCGTGATGCGGGTCTGTAATTCCTTGTTAGATTTGTAATGCACGTGTCATTAACGACTCAGAGAAAAATGTGTTCTCCGAAGGTGATCACTTCAACAGGGCGACGCTTATGGTAGAAAGCGTATAATACGAGTTTCGCAGGACTCACCCGAATTCGGTCAGCAAAAGCCTTTCAATGGACCGACGCTCCAGGATGAAAGAAGCCATGGCGGAAGGCCTTAAAGAAGCCAGAGCGTGGGTCCAGAACCGGCCAGAAGTCATAAAAGCAGGCTGCCTCGCCTTAGCTCTCTCGCTCTTATTCATAATATACGCTCCGGCGTTCTTCTTCGGGTTGCTCGTCGGTGCCTCCTCCGTGATCGGCGGCGAGGTCCTTCTCCTGAAGCATCTCTGGAGAAAGATTCGTCCTCCGAAGAAGGAAGGTTCGGAAGCGGGGAATGCGCCTGCGCCGGATCCTGTACCCGAGGACCTTTTGGAAACAACCTCGTTATTGAAAGAGGTTCGTTTAAATTACCACGACATTTTGTCTCATTTCAGCTGTTGGATCTACATGGCTGGATTCTCCTGAACCAGAGGAGATTCTGAAATCAACTTGGATTCTGAACGACATGAAGGGGTTCGTATCATTTCCATCAACTGAGACCTTTCCGCCATCGACCTTCGTACGTGTAATCCTTTCGTGTAACGGCTGGCTAATACGGTTCATTGTCATTCCCTTGTTCAGAAAGCATCTGTAACCCTAATTAGTTACCCGTTCACAACAGGTAGCTTTTAATTCCTGGTGGCCATTCGAGTTGGGCGAGGGAAAACAGGATCTGAACCCTCTTTATCCCTCTCAACTCCTTCTCATCTCCCTACTGCTGCAGAGCGTGGCGTGGGTCTCCCTCAGGCCATGCGAGGCGGACGAGGGCAAGACGGGTTCAGGCAAGCTGCGCAAGAACGTGAAGCTGTTCGCGCCGCTGCTGCGCCTCGCGAGTCTGGAGGTGGAGGAGCGGGTGCTGGCGCTGGCGGGCAGCAGCCAGGGCGAGTCAGAAACAATCTTGCTGGATGGGTGCGACGTTAAGAGCTTCTCAGAGACCAGCGGGCCGGAGAAACGCTGGTGAGGAGGAGGGTGAGGGAGAGAGAGAGGGGTGGTGAGGGAGAGAGGGGCTGGGAGGGAGAGAGGGTTTGGGAGGGAGAGAGGAGATGAGAAAGGGAATGAGTGGGGAGTGGTAAGAGGGAATGGGTGTGGAGTGGTGCAGAGGGATGGATGGAGAGTCTGGGGGCTGAGGAGCGGGTGCTGGTGCACTGCCCTCTCGCCTTGTCCAATCGAACCCCCTCCCCCCCCCCCTCCCCCTCTACCACCCTACCTCTTTCCTCTCTTCGCCCTCTCCCCCACTCAGGGCTCGCAAGTTCCCCATTCGCATCAGCCACCCGTCCCGCATTCTCTTTCAAAACGCCAGGGAGTTTTTCATCTACTTCCCCAATGGACGCGTCAATCGAACCCCCTCCCTCCCCCCCCCCCTCCCCTCGTCCACCCTACCACTTTCCCCCTTTTCGCCCTCTCCCCCACTCAGGGCTCGCAAGTTCCCCATTCGCATCAGCCACCCGTCCCGCGTTCTCTTTCAAAACGCCAGGGAGTTTTTCATCTACTTCCCCAATGGCCGTGTGAAGCAAGCTTGGTGCCGAGCCTTGCGTGCCGCAGCCTTCCCCGAATCAGAAGACACCCTCTGGCAGGTTCAAGTCTCCCAAGCCTACGCTGTCTACCTCGGGAAGATCCGAGCCTCGCGCCCGGACCTCTGGTTGAATGTGGAGGCTACGGAACTGGAGGGTGGGGGGGAGGATGCGCGGGGGGAGGGGGAGGGCGGTGGGAAGACTGGGCGGTGGGGGGAGGGGAGGATGGGGCAGAGGAAGTGGCTGAGAAAGATACGGACAAAGCAGGGAGGGGGAATCGGGGCCAGGAGCGGCAGTGGAGGTGTAGGCGCGTGGGGGGGAGGAGGAGGCGGGGCAGGGGCAGGAGCAGGGGGAGGGGGGGGAGCAGGGACGGTAACTGGGGAGGATTCGAGTGGGGATGGTGGTATATGGGGAAGCTTTAGCATGAGCTCTTGGAGCAGTGGCGGTGCCAGCGGGGGAGGTAGCGGCTGGGGCGTACGCAGTGGCAGCTTCGGCACTGCAGGCTCGGAGGTGTCGTTGCTTCGGCCGCCGAACCTAAAGGCGCTGTTCAGGAAGGAGCAGTCTATGCTGCAGCAGCCGATGCAGGGTCAGAGAGCGTTGCTGCCCCTGCCTGCTCCTCCGGTGGTTTCTTCTGGTTCCATGCATGCAGCAGTAGCACAGTTACAGCATCAACAACAGCAGCAGCAGCAGCAGCAGCAGCAACATCAACACCAGCAGCAGCACCAGCATCACCAGCAGCAGCAGCAGCAGCAGCAGCAGCATCACCAGCAGCATCAGCAGCATCACCAGCAGCATCACCAGCAGCATCAGCAGCATCACCAGCAGCATCACCAGCAGCATCAGCAGCATCGGGATGTCTCTCCTCTGCCAGCCATCCCCTCTGGTCGCACGCTCCCACAGTCCCTATCTACAGAGTCAGATGCGGCTACTCCCGCAGGCGGTGGCTTTGGTGGAGCAAGCAGCATCGGGGGCAGCAACAGCATTGGTAGCAGCGGTGGCGGCGTTGCTGCTGCTGCTGCGGCGGCGGCGGCGGCGACGGCTACTGCTTCGACTGCCGCTAGTGGTGCGGGAGGGGGATGGGAGGACGGTCCTGGAGGGGAGGAGAGTTCTCTGTGGGCCTTCAAGCGCAGCCACACGGATACATCTGTGCGTCACCGACCGAGAATCCTCAACAGTGAAGGGAACACCACTGATACCACCTTGACCTCTGCCTCCTCTGAAATCAACTCCTGTGGGATCATTCACTCTGTGGCTGGATCGTCTGGGGTGAACCAAACGGGAACTAACTTGTCCGGATTTAACCTGCCCGGATTCAACCTGTCGGGAGTCAATTTGACTGGGGTCAACTTGAGTGGAGTCAACTTGACGGCAGTCAACTCGTCTGGAGTGAGGAAGAGGGGGCATGGGGAGCGATCACAGCTGGAAGGAGTGGCAGAGGGGGCTGTCACTGTCCCACCATTTGACAGCCCGTTCCCCTCTTCACTGTCAGATTCTTCAACAGCAGCAGGAGCCACAGGAGCAGCAGCAGCAGCAAGAGCAGTGGCAGCAGAAAGAGAGGAGGGTCCAGAGGAGAGCGGGCCGGTGGCGTTTAGTGGGCCTGTGACTCAGGCAGAGGCTGCAGCAGCCGTCGCAGCTATTGAAATGGCCCACAGGGCAACCATGCACCATGGCGCGTATCGGCAGGTGGACGGGCAGGTGGGCGAGTTTAGTGGCATTGGCATTGCGTCAGGTCCTAATGGTAGACCGTACCCTAGTGACCTGAGTGTCATACTTTCTGGCGAGCCCACTTGCCCTCCCGCTGCTCCTCTTGGCAGCGCTGCTGCTTCAGATGACGCTGTTGCCACTGATGCTACCTCTGCGGCTGCCGCTGCAGCTGCGGGTGCGGCTGCCGCTGCAGCTGCGGGTGCGGCTGCTGGTGCAGGTGCTACTGGTGGTGCAAGTGGTCCTGGTAATCCTGGTGAGAGTGGTGGTGGTGGTGGCGGTGGTGGTGGGGGTGTGGGTGGAGGCAGCAGTGGGGAGCCAGAGGGGGCGGTGCAGTGGGCGAATGCGCTGCTGTGCAGACTCTACTTTGACCTTTCTCAGGAGGACGCGCTCAGCAAGAAGCTCCAGGCCAAGTTCTCGGTACGTTAACGTGCAGGCAGAGTTCTAGTCCTAGATACATGCCAGCCAAGATCTAGGTCCGCGCCAGCCAAGATCTAGGTTCGTGCTACCAAAGGTTTAGGTAAGTGCCGGCTTAGATTCAGGGCACGTGGAATCCAGGTTCAGGATCTTTGAAGTTCTATCTTAGTCCTTCTTCTTCTTCCCCCTCTCACCCATGTCTCCTGCACCAACGACTCTTTGCCTCCTATCCCTCTCCCCTTGAGACTCAGGCACCTTAAAAGAGACTGAATGAGACCTTATTTTCTGCCCCCTCCCGCGTATCCCCCTCCCCCTTGTCTTCAGGAGAAGCTATCGCTAGTCATAACGCCATCCATCATGGGTCCCATCTCCTGCACCAAGCTGTCTGTCCTGCATCTCAGAGCCTCATATTCACCATGTCCCCCTCCCCCGTGTCTCCAGGAGAAGCTGTCACTAGTCATCACACCGTCCATCATGGGTCCCATCTCCTGCACCAAGCTGTCGCTCGGCCCCATCCCTCCTCTCATTCGCTCCATGCGCACAGTCAACCTCGCCATGCCAGGTAAACATGTGTTGCCTTGATTGTGCTGCATGCTATCTTCTGCACCAACATGCTACTCGGCCCCAATCCATCCCTCCTCTCATTCGCTCCATGCGCACAGTCAACCTCGCCATGCCAGGTGCGCACGCATTGCCCTTTCCTCCATCCCTCGCTCGCTCTCCCCTATCCCCCTTTCCCCCCCACTCATTCTTCCCCATCCCCCTCCTCCTTCATTTTTTCCCATCCCCGTCCTCATTAGCTCAACCTCCCCCATCCCCCTCCTTAGCTCATTCTCCCCTACACCCCTCCTCATTCTCCTACGAGTGAGAGTCTATTCACCTTAAATATTTTCTCCCTTCTTTGTTTTCTACCAATGCTTGCATCTCGTTTCCCCACCAGGGGACGACTTGGCTCTAGTTTTGCATCTGGAGTACAAGGGAGCAGCCAGCATGACCCTTCCTTTGATGCTCCCGACACCTTGTTCCCTCATTCGTGACCCTGCGTTCTACCGTGGTTCCCTTTCCTCCCCACCGGGGGCCGACTTGGCTTTAGACATGGATCTGGAGTTCAAGGGAGCAGGCACTTTGACGATAGAGACCAGCATTGGCAAGCGAGAGACGCGGTTCCTCATGAGCATTGTTGCCCCATGACCCGCTTCTGACCTTGCATCTCTCGTCCCCTCCCTACCAGGGGGCGACCTTGCACTGGATGTCGATCTGGAGTTCAAGGGAGCAGCTGCTATGAACCCGTCTTTCATGTGCCTCATGCCGTTTTCCCTCGTTCCTTTGTTTCCCACCCTTGCATCTCTCGTCCCCTCCCTACCAGGGGGCGACCTTGCACTGGATGTCGATCTGGAGTTCAAGGGAGCAGCCACCATGACGATAGAGACCAGCATTGACATGCGAGAAACGCAGTTCCTCAAAATGTGGGAAGAGCGAGACCTTTCCCGGGCAGAAAAAGAGTCTGAGAGGAGGGCGGAGTATTCTGGGCAGGTGGAAAACACACCGTTGACTGCAGGCTCGGAACCGGCCCTTTCTGACGGTTCGGCAGCTGCCGGGGGAGGCTCGGATGGAGTAGGCTCGGCCGGACCTGGAGCCGGACCTGAGCGGCTGGTTCGGCGAGGATCGGGCATGGGAGAGGCACTGATGAGTGAGGAGACTGCTGCTGCTCTGGTGGGGGATATGGAGGTGGCTGAAGATGTGACTGTTGAGGGCGCTGCTACAGCCCCTGCTACTACCCTGGCCAAGAGCACGCCGACCAAGGGAGGCAGGAAGAGGAATATCATTCGAGGGGTGCGGGGCATGGTCAGCAACATGGCCAACAGCCTCTCACAGGTGAGCCTAAGCATCCCCCATGTGAGCCTCCCCCATGTGAGCCTCCCCCATGTGAGCCTCCCTCATGTGAGCCTCCCCCATGTGAGCCTCCCCCATGTGAACCTCCCCCATGTGAACCTCCCCCATGTGAACCTCCCCCAGGTGGTATGCCTCCCCCATGTGAGCCTCCCCCTGCCTCCCCCAGTTGAACCTGTCCAAGGTGAGCTTAACCAGTTTAACCTCTCCCAGGTAAGCCTTCCCCGGATAAACCCACCCACCCCATGTAAGTGTTTAATACTCATCCACTCTTTGCATTCAAAGGGTGTGAGGCACGCATGCTCGGTAACGTGGCCAACAGCCTCTCCCAGGTAAGCCTCCCCTGGGTAAGCCTACCCCAGGTAAGCCTATCCCAGGTAAGTGTTCTCTCCCTTTCCCCTAACTCCCAAGAAACATGTCCCCTTCACTCTCTCCTTCGAGTTTTTATGACACATCTGTTAAAGGAACAGTGATTTGGATACCCTTCTCCTTGTTCCTCCCCTCCCCTCCACTCGCTGCCTCTTCCTCCCCATCCCTCCAGCTAGGTCCCCCTGACCCTCTCCTTCAATATCACGTCTGTTAATGGAACGCTGCGCATCCGAGTGCCGGCCCTGCTCGTCACCCCCTCCCTTCCCCCACCCCTCCTCCCCCCCTTCCCCCCTCCCCCCCTTCCCCCCTTCCCCCCTCCCCCCCTCCCCAATCAGGTTCCCCTCACTCTTTCCTTCAATATCACATCTGTTAAAGGAACTCTGCGCATCCGGGTACCCGCCCCGCCCTCCGACCGCCTCTGGATGTCGTTCGTTGAGATGCCCGAGATCGAGATGCAATCCATGCCGTCCATTGGCGACCTCAAGCTCAAGCGCTACCCCATGGCCACTCTCCTGATTGAGAAGCTCAAGGTGAGTGGGTAGCGGCTTGCTCTGAGGGTGGGTGGGTGGGTGTGAAGCTTAAGGTGAGTGGGTAGCGGCTTGCTCTCAGGGTGGGTGGGTGGGTGTGAAGCTCAAGGTGAGTGGGTAGCGGCTTGCTCTGAGGGTGGGTGGGTGGGTGTGAAGCTCAAGGTGAGTGGGTAGCGGCTTGCTCTGAGGGCGGGTGGGTGGGTGTGAAGCTCAAGGTGAGTGGGTAGCGGCTTGCTCTGAGGGTGGGTGGGTGGGTGTGAAGCTCAAGGTGAGTGGGTAGCGGCTTGCTCTCAGGGTGGGTGGGTGGGTGTGAAGCTCAAGGTGAGTGGGTAGCGGCTTGCTCTCAGGGTGGGTGGGTGGGTGGGTGGGTGGGTGTGAAGCTCGAGCACTACCTTATGGCCACATTCCTGATTGAAAAGCTCAAGGTGAGTTGCTGGCCTGCTGACTCCCAGTGCAGTTTGTTTTTGTTACGGTACGTAGTAGCATGTGGGTGGGTGGGTGGGTGGGTGGGTGGGTGGATGGAGAGTGGGTTGCGTGGTAAGTCTCAGGGCAGTTTGTTTTTGCGACGCTTTGTAGCATGTGGGTGTTTAAACCCTAGCAATCACCCTCTCAACCTCAATCCTCAAACTAGAAACGCCCATCGTTTTTTGCTTTTCGTCCTTCCGTCCCCCCCCTCCTCTCCCCATATCAGGCACTGATCAAGCGGTCACTCACTGGTGCAGCCCAGCTGTGTGGACGCCAAGCTCCGCGTCATGCTCTCAAACCCCCACGACTGGTTTCCCCTAGTGTGAACCCAAGAGGCATAACATTCCCATTCCCCGTTTCCTCCCCCCCTCTCTTCCGCCCCAAACCGTGATCAGGCACTGATCAAGCGTTCTCTGGTGCAACGCAGCTGTGTGGACGCCAAGCTCCCCTTCATGCTCTCCCACCCCCACGACTGGTGACACCTACATGCTGCCTAGAAACCCTAAATTACACCACCTCGTCTCCCCCCATCACACCCCCATTCCCATCAGGCCCTGATCAAGCGCTCTCTGGTGCAACGCAGCTGTGTGGACGCCAAGCTCCCCTTCATGCTCTCCCACCCCCACGACTGGTGACACCTACAAGTTTGTCTTGGTTTCATGCCCGTAACTCAATACGTTTCCGCCCCCCTCCTTCAAACCCCCATCAGGCACTGATCAAGCGGTCACTGGTGCAGCCCAGCTGTGTGGATGCCAAGCTGCGCTTCATGCTCTCAGACCCCCACGACTGGTTACCGCGTCAACCCTGCATGTTACCCTGGCGCCCCCCTGTTGACGCCTCTGTCAACCCTCCTCCCTCCACCCTCCCCGCTTCCTCCTCCTCGTTCTTCACTCCCTCGTCGTCCCAAACCTCTCTCTCCGGGCTGGCCCAAGCCTCCAACGCCGGCTCGGACAGCCGAGGCTCGGATGTCCGAGGCTATATGGTAAAAGACTTGGGAAGAGGTTTGGACGGGGAAGGGAGGGATGGGGAAGGCCTGGGTGCAAGTATTGGAGATTCTGGTGGAATTACCAGCACCAGTGGCGGTAGTGGTGTAGGTGGTGCTGCTGGTGGTGGTGCTGCTGGTGGGTTGGCTGGGAGTGCAAAGCTAGGTCGGGACGGCACGAGAGGGTCTGTGAGGGGGTTAGTGGGCGGGATAATGACGAGAAGGCAAGGGGCAGCAGTCACAAGCAGCCCTGTGCTCGATCTTGTCACAAGGCGGACCGTCAGCCACCAGAGTCTCAGCTCTGGCGCCTCTGCTGCTGCTTCTGGGGCTCCTAGATCGCCAATGAGGGGTGCGGTAGGTGCTGCTGCTGCTGGTACTGCTGCTGCTGGGCTGGGAGGTAGGCAGGGAGGAGCAGGAGGTGCTGGGGAAGTGGGAGGAGGAGCGGGACCAGCAGCAGGAGGAGGAGGGGGAGCGGCAGCAGCACTGGTGTCGGGAGGAGGAAGCAGCAACAGTGACTCGGCTCAGCTTGCCTCCAGCTCTCCCCTTGCGGCTCTGGTCCCTTTCAATCCTAACGTGTGCCCCTCTTCTCCTCTTAGAAGACTCCCTCCTTTCTATCTTGGCTCGAAGGAACATGAGCTTCAGCAGCAGCAGCAGCAGCAGCAGCAGCAGGACGCCAGCGTCCCTTCCCCCTCCTTCTCTGTCTCCTCACCCCTGGTTCCTCCACCCTCTTCCTCCTCCACAACCTTCTCACCGCTCTCCACTCCTGCTCTTCCCTCTTCCACCTCAACAGCTCGCCACCTCCTCTCAGCAGCCAAGTCACACTTGAAAAGCGCAGCATATGCAATCAAACCCTCGTCTTCCACTCCTTCCTCTTCCTTTACCTCTGCAGCCTTCCTTTCCTCTTCAGGCGAGTTTGGTAAAGCCAGTGCAGCCAGTGAAGGTTACACTGCTATCGCCACTGCCGCTGCTTCTGCTGTCGGAAATTCTGCTGCTGAGAGTACGGGAACAGCGATAATGGCAGCAGCAGCAACGTTGTTGTGCGGTGCTGCTGCCACTGCTGCTGGTGGTGATGCTGCCATTGGTTCAGTTGCTGGTGGTGCTGCTGCTGCTGCTACCTCCGTAGGTTCGGTTGTTATCGGCTCTTCTGCTGGTGCTTCTGCTGGTGCTTCTGCTGGTGCTGCTGGCATGGCCGCAGGTTCGGAGGCAGGCTCGGCAGAGGTACCTGTTCATCAAACTGCCACGTCACCACCGGTGCTCCGTCTCCCATCCTCCAGCTCTTCACCTAACATTGCTGAGGCACAGCCACAGCTCCAACCTGCGCCCGTCTCGTCCTCATTATTGTCCGATCCGCTATTGTTTGACAAGCAGCAGGGAAGCAACGAAACTAAGGGCAACGAAAGCGCAAGTTCCCGCGCGGCCGCCATTGCTGGTATGAGTGGCGGTGGTGGCAGCACAGGTGGTGGGGGTGGTGTGGTGGGGCTGGGTGGGGGCTTGGGGGTGGGGCGAATGAGAGCGAGCATGGCTGGAGAGCTGTTTGAGGGTCTGAGGCTGTCTAAGGCATCACGCATGGCTGCACGGGAGAGGAGGAGAGCTGGAAGGGGCCGGGGAGGAGGAGGACGGGGAGGAGGGGTTGGTGGTAGTGGGGATGTGGATGGGGAGGTAGGTTCAGCGGACGAGGGTTCGTCGCAGCAGCAGCCAGTGCGAGGGTTTGAGGCGTTTAAGCAGAGTCTAGGGGTGCGTGGGAGCGAATGGTTGGATAGGGGGAGGGAGAAGGATAAGGATCGGGAGAGATGGGCCATGGCAGCGATTACGAGGGTGGCTGCAATGAGGAAGAAAGCAAGGGGGAGCGCGAGGGGGAGCTGGGATGGGTCGGAGTTTGGGGGTATGGGGGATGGGGAAGATGCAGGGCTGGATGGTTTGGACGGTTTGGATGGGTTGGATGCGGTGGATGGGCTTGATCGTGATGCCTCTGCTGGTGGTGGTGGTGGTTCTGGGGTACCAGGGTCGACGAGGGAAGATGCTAGCTTTGGGCTGTTCTCTGGGAGATCTGCTCTGATGATGGTGGGAGGGGGATTGGGAGGAGGAGCGGGAGGAGGGGTGGGGGGATTCAGGGGTGTTGCTGGGGGGGCGGCGAGTGGAGGTCTGGTTGGGGGACTGAGGAGAATGGGAAGGAGCAAGAGTGGGAAGGGCAGGGAAGAGGAGGGCACAGGAACAAGCCAGGGAGCGGGTTCGAGGGAGGAACAGGAGGGGGTGGGGGCGGAGGGGGCGGAAGGGGAGGAAGGGGAGGAAGGGGAGGAAGTGTCAGAAGGCTGGGCTGATGCGAGAAGCTTCACGGTGCCGATAGTGAGAGCGAAGAGCTGGGAAGTGGGGAATTCGGAGGTGATGCGGACGCAGCTGTCGTCTCGCAGTGTTCGAGGCGAGGCAGGGCTGGTAGTGTTGGATGGGGACGGTGTGGGATCGACGGCTAGAAATGATTCGGAACGAACGGTTTCTTCTGGTACAATCACAACAGCTGAACACACAGCATCACCAAGTGTTACAGCCAGCACTGCAGGAAATGCTGCTTTTGGGGGTGTCATCTCAGTAGTAGCGACCAGTGGGGATAGGCGAGGGAATGGGGGAGCAGCAGATGCGACGGCGGCAGCTGTAGTGGTTCGGCAGCAAGAAGGCTCCGGGTCTGGTGGCGAGGGTGGGGAGAGTGGGGAGGAGAGAGAGGGCAAGTGGGGGGATAGGATGGCTAGGGCGAAGGAGTTTGTGGGAAGGATAGGGAATAGGGAGGCGAGGGAGAGGCTTGAGGATAAGGCTAAGAAGGTGTTGGGATTCTTGCACCGAGGGGAGAAAGCGGAGCAGTAAAAAGAGGGATGAGTGCATGTGCCGTCGCAGATGTATGTGATGTGTAACCGGAAAATCAATATGATTTTGTATGTTACCTAGTTTCAAGGAACTGTTTGATTTCTGTTTTCTTCGAAGGGTGTTTTCCTGTGTTTGATGTTAAAACCGAAATATAAAATAGTGAAGGCGGATCCAACTTGAAATCGTGCTCGGAAGAAGCAAAACTGGAACGACGATGGGCTGTGTAAAACACAGTTCCGGGCATCGCCCTTCCACAGACTGAACACACGTAATTCGTTCCCGCCAAAAAAAAAAATCAGATCGTGCTCGCGCGTTTCGCATTTTCTGCATGCGACATTTGCACGACAGTTGTTTGTCGTGCGTTTTGATGGTTGGACCCGACTTCGACTGTCAAGCTGGGCCTGGGTTCCACATATGCTTACATTGAGAAAGCTTGCTTTCTTTCTTATCAATTGGCATCGTTCTCATTACAAATGGCATATTACAACATTTGCATCATCGTTCGACATAAGCTAGTGCGGACTAATAACACTAGCTATTATGTACCCTATCCAAGTGGCATTAGCAAGGCGGTTTACACTGGGGTGGGTGGTGGGAATGTTGAGTGAGCCGTTTGAAAATTGAGAAACGTGGGTGGAGGGAAATGAGCTCCAACCCACGGTTTTTGTAGTTGGAGAAGGGCGTTTAGCGCGCTTCGACGATGCCAATTGTGCAGTACAAGCAGCTTCGCTTTCACAATACACAATTTTAAAAAACACTACATGTGTGTTTAAAAATTATAATTTCAACTCCATTCACGTAGCTTGCCTAACTCACGGAGCTTGCATAGCATGGAATAGCCAGAGACGAGGAATTAGGCTGATGCGGCATAGAAATTAAATTATCATTAGATTGTTTGTGATACTTCGTCGCCGTTGCTGCTGTCAGAATCCCAACCACTAGACCATTGGGATAAAAGGACTTGTTTCAGTAGCGGATCAGTGCGCCCATAACCCCCCAGGCGAACATGCCTGTAACCCTCTCCAGGATCAATCGGGCATCCACAGCGCAGATCTACTGACACCCCCCCGCACTGGGAGGCCCAGGATTAAGCACAACGACACCGGCCTACATGTGCATATACCGGGAATCGAACCCGAGACCGCTCTAATACCATGTCAGAATCCCAACCACTAGACCATTGGGATAAAATGGCTTGTTTCAGTAGCGGGTCAGTGCGCCCATAACCCCTCAGGCGCACGCGCCTGTAACCCTCTCCAGGATCAATCGGGCATCCACAGTGCAGATCTACTGACAGCTGCGTAGTGATATTTTCCTCGCGATCACAGAGAACCCCATTCCCGTCGCCATTCCTCTCATCCCTCTCATCGCCCACTATGCTATCCTCGAGTTCGCCAAATCGCCCACCCGTCTCCCTTTCCGTCGCGCGTCACGTCGCCATCTCGTCGCCCGTCCCGTCGCCCTCTCTCCCCTCCTCTCCTCCCGTCGGCCTCTCTCTCGCCCCTCTCTACCGATCGCCCTCCCGTCGCTCGCCCCGTCGCGCTCTCTCTCTCCGCTCCCTTCCCGTCGCCCTCTCTCTCGCCCCTCCCTTCCCGTCACGCTCTCTCTCTCCGCGCCCTTCCCGTCGCCCTCTCTCTCGCCCCTCCCTTCCCATCGCTCTCTCTCTCTCCGCTCCGCCCTCTCTCTCGCTCCTCCTTCGAATCGCGCTCTCTCTCCGCTCCCTTCCCGTCGGCCTCTCTCTCCACTCCCTTCCCGTCGCACTCTCTCTCTCCGCTCCCTTCCCGTCGCGCTCTCTCTCTCCGCTCCCTTCCCCTCGCCCTCTCTCTTGCCCCTCCCTTCCCGTCGCGCTCTCTCTCTCCGCTCCCTTCCCGTCGCCCTCTCTCTCGCCCCTCCCTTCCCGTCGCGCTCTCTCTCTCCGCTCCCTTCCCATCGCCCTCTCTTTTGCCCCTCCCTTCCCGTCGCGATCTCTCTCTCTGCTCCCTTCTCGTCGCCCTCTCTCTCGCCCCTCCTACCCGTCGCGCTCTCTCTCTCCGCGCCCTTCCCGTCGCCCTCTCTCTCGCCCCTCCCTTTCCATTGCGTTCTCTCTCTCCGCTCCGCCCTCTCTCTTGCTCCTCCCTTCGAATCGCGCTCTCTCTCCGCTCCCTTCCTGTCGCGCTCTCTCTCTCTCCGCTCCCTTCCCATTGCCCTCTCTCTTTCCGCTCCCTTCCCATCCTCCCTTCTCGCTCGCCTCGAATAGCCCTCCCGGCGACCTTTGACTCTCCCATCACGTTTGCCCTCCTTTCTCCGTCGCCTCTCTCGTTCTCCCTCTGCTATCGCGTCAGCGTGACCCATTCCGTACTCTGTTATTGTGTTTGGTTTGTTTGTTTTTTCTGTCTTTCCATCTATTCTCGACACCCTCTCTCCCGCCGCCTATCCTCTCTCCCGTCGCCTATCTTTTCTCCCGTCGCCCTCCCGTTTCCTGTCGCCCTCCCGTTTCCCGCCCCCCTCCCGTTTCCCGTCGCCCTCGCGTTTCCCGTCGCCCTCCCGTTTCCCGTCGCCCTCCCGTTTCCCGTCGCCCTCCCTTCTTCCGTCGCCCTCCCTTTTCCCGTCGCCCTCGCGTTTCCTGTCGCCCTCCCGTTTCCCGTCGCCCTCCCGTTTCCCGTTGCCCTCCCGTTTCCCGTCGCCCTCCCGTTTCCCGTCGCCCTCGCGTTTCCCGTCGCCCTCGCGTTTCCCGTCGCCCTCCCGTTTCCCGTCGCCCTCCCGTTTCCCGTCGCCCTCCCGTTTCCTGTCGCCCCCCTTCTTCCGTCGCCCTCCCGTTTCCTACGCCCTCCCTTCCCGTCGCCCTCCCGTTTCCCGTCGCCCTCCCTCTTTCTCTTCATTCGCGTCACCTTGCGCATCATAATTTCCCCCCTAGTGTTGTTTTTCGCTTCTGTTTCCCGTTATTGCATCTCTCCCAGGCCTCAAGTCCAAGGCAGCACATTGATCAGAGCTCTACTAGCTCTAATAACGTTCAAACACTTTCACTCTCATCACGTACATGTGTGTCTGCTTGGGATTTAGCGTGAGATGTTGCTAGTTGTGAATTTGATGAAGTATTGGCTCTAGTGAATGCAGGAGTGCTCGTCGCTCAACTTTGCGCCAAATTCGCACATGTACATGTGAGAGAACCTGGATGCCAATCAGAATTGACAATGAACTATCGTTCTTGGTCCAATAAGAAACTCGTCCGAGGGTCGGAAAAAAAAGCACACATATAGCAATTCCAACATTCCAAAACAAAACAAAAATACTTCATCTTCAAGTGGACCCAACTAGAAGGGGGGGGGTCACTATTTTGCCTGCTGGCTTTAATCGGTCAGCTGGTGACCAGGAGCTGCTTCGCCGACGGTGCTGGGGTCTACGACCTTCGCGAATGATCGGCTGTTTCCCGCGACTGCCCTCCCGCTGCGAAAGTCCGGTCTTCTGTTCCTCAGTGGCGACGAACCGCATTTGTGTCAGCACTTCGCCAACATTCGAATATTTCCATCACGACACGCGATGCCTGGGCCACTTCACGCGGTCCTGTCCCCTCCGCCCCGCAGTCACACACACTCTTTGGTCAGGAAGGCAGCTTATGATCCATCCGATCGTATAAACAACCCATCTAGACCGTCCGTTTGTTCGTTTCCAGTCCGTCGACTGAAATTGCTCGGATCGCATCGCAGGCACAGGCAGGCAATCTCGAAGCACCTCGATTATTTCGCCGTGCCTTGGAAATTGCGACTGCGAGCTTCAGTCTGTGCAGGGTTGAGTATCTGCTGGTCGCGTGTTTCTCAGCGAACCCACACTGCTGTTGCTAGTTTCTCCCAACCCACACGTTGCTCACAATTATATGCGCAACTTACAATTGTCTCGTCACGTCGATCACAATTATATGCGCTAGTTTGTTACACACGCGGCTGTTGCTAGCCAACGTAGCGTAGCCTGTGATCTAGCCGTGATCGGGTGATATAAGGTCGCATCTGTGCTACGCTAATCACCTCCGTACTTACAAATAAGCAAAGCCGTAGCTATACCTTATACTTACCGCGCCCCGAACGCCAATATCTCTTTGGCATCGACTAATTCTCCGAGAGGCACTACGTTTCGCCTATAATAATTACCGTGGGCGTTTTCGTGACTCTAAGCTTAGTAATTTCTATCATTCTTTCGTACTTCGAGCCTTTACGGCTCCAACAAGAGCTGTTATTCGTTACAAACTCGATATTGGCAGACTTAACGTTGTATGTACCGAATTGTCGGAGCTAGTCGGTCGAGAAGGCAAAACGACGAGATGCTGGTAAGCCTACTAGACACCGATGCTTATTATAAGGTATTGGAGTGGTTCGAGCGTTACTCTGGTTTTTTTCTATCAGTCAGATTGACTTTCTTCGTGAGCAAGCAAGTGGCTCGGACTATCTCCTTGCCCACTTCTGTAAGCCGCTTCTGGCGACAGAATGCGAGTGGTTCTGGCCTTTCAAGCATGAAAATGCTTGCAATGTGCAACGTGCTGATTGTGACGAAGTTTCTCAAGCACGAAGAAAACCCACCACCAACGTTTTTTTACCGTGTTTACAGCTACGCGCATAGTTGCTGAATTCCTTTCTGTTTATTTTATCCACCTGCGGTAAGAAAAACTGTCGCAAAAAATAAGGAGAACGTGATCCACACCCTCATTTGTAAACAAATCCAGAGTTTCTGCAAAAATCGATAGTACATGAACCACGCCCTTGGGAGCTCCGCCGACATTCTCAAGGTGCAGGTTGAGAGGCAGTCTTACGCTCCCTTTCATTCTCTTTCGCTCTCTTTCACTCTTTTCCGCTGCTTCCTCCAACGTTTCCCCCCTTCCTCAACCACCCCTTTCCCCTCATCCCCTCCCGATCCTCCTCCTTTCGTGTTTCCGCCGCCTTTCGTTTTGCGTGACTTGATTCCCGACAGTTCCGAGCGGCGAAGACGGTGGTATGCTGCACTCTCGGGCCCATCGTATGGGGATTGCTATCCCTGCTCTTCCTCCTCCTTATCGCCCTTGGAATCACGGCACTTGTGCTCTACTTCGTGTACAAACCGCAGGTTCGTCGCCTGATATTTTCAGCTTCAACGCTTACTTCTTTTTCCATACGCTTGTGACTGGTGCTTTGATTGCCCTACTGTATGTTTGTCTCTGCCTCCCTTCCCTTTCTTATTGCTTACCGAAATGGTATTTCGTTTCTTTTTTACTCCCTCTCTCCATCCTTCCAGCTACCTGAGTGCGACGTACAGAACGTAACAGTAAACAGACTGAACGTCACTCGCCTGACTTCGTTTCCCTTCAACGAAACGGCCTACGCAGCTCTAGCCACCTTGAGCGCCGCCGACAGAGCAGCCGCATTGGGCGTCCCAGGCAACTACAGCGCCAAATCAACTGACCCATCCTCGCCATCAGCATCTCCGTTATTAGCATCTCCACTAGATGCTCTCGGGAATGCCACCGTGCCGCCAAGGCTCGGTCTGAATGCTGACGTGGGATTCACGCTGGAGACGCGGAATCCGAACAAGGTCGCCATTGATTATAAATACGTGAATGTGTCGATTATTTACAGAGGCGTCACTGTGGGAAACTCGTCGGTAAGTCCTATGCCATGCTCTTCCTTTCTCCGGAACTCCCAAACTTTCGTCGCAACGCGTCTGCCAGTTTCTTGCCTCTTCAAAGAGCTAGTTGTTTCAACCATTGTCTCTCTGTTGACTCCCTATACGGGCATTGCCTTCGTCAAGAGATAGTTGTTTTAACCTTACAAAACATTCCTTGCCTACGTCTGCTTCTTAACCACTTCTTAGTCTCTCTGTTGACCCCCCATACGGGCATTCGGGGTCTTTCGGCTTCGTATACTTTTGGATTTTATACTAGCTCGCAACGCTCTTTTCGGATTGTCCCCCGGCTGCTGCAGATTCCGCCATTCACGCAGCAGGCGCAGACCAACACGAGTGTACCAGCAGAGCTTCTAGTACTAGACTTCCCACTCGATATAGTCACGGGGCCTGTCATGCTGGCAGATTTGAACGCTGGAAACGTTCCCCTACAGGTACTACTGCTCCTCTACATGTTGTGTTCCTCTACAGGTACTGCTCCTCTACATGTTGTGTTCCTCTACAGGTACTGCTCCTCTACATGTTGTGTTCCTTTGCACGCAATCTTCCTCTAGAGTTCCTTTTCAGGTTGTTCTCCTCTCTGCATCCTTTGTGGCATCCGCTCGTTTGGCTTTACCTTGTTTTGAGTCAGACTCAAAAGAATCATCTGCTCTTTTGCATTCCTCTTGTGAGCACGAGCCCTATCTTTTAGAATTCTCAGGAACCTCTGCGTCCTATTATCCCCATGTCACAATCGCTGCTTCAACTTGAAGAGAAGGCTCGCAATACAATCGAGACGCTACAGTTGCGTCTCACAAATCTGGTTTCAGTTATCAGAACTTCAGCACTTGAGATGCCTCCTATCCCACTCTGCTCCCCTGTCCCTATGGAACAGTTGCTGCTTCAACTAGGGGCACGGATTAACATTTTAGGGGTGGCATCTCCGTTTGCTCTGGTGAGTCCGCATGCCCTTTCTCTTCCCTGTAATCTGGGTGAGTTTGCATCCCTGGACCTTCCCCTTTGTATGTATATACAGCCTCCAATTTCTCTTTAACTGATCGTTTTTTCTATGGCGCCCCTTTTTACTCATTACTCTTGATCCCTCTGCGTGTTCCCTCCCGCTCCGTTTTTCACCAGGTTGGTTTGTTGTGCGATGTCACAGCTGATCCAATAACGCGGACAGTGAAAAGCACAAGTTGCTCGTTACAAAACGTTGGTTTTGCATGAGTTACTGGGAAGGAGCTGCACATACGGGACTCGTGGAGAATAGAATGATATATTTTGATGTGAAATGTACGATAATTTACTACCGTATAAGGTGGACGTTTACTGCATGATAATGTAGTGCCAAAGCATCTAATTATGTAGAGGTTTGTTGCTTGTACCGCAAGTTGTGGCCCTAAGAGGCTGGTGTTCGCTTTACATCTTTCATCGCTGATGTAACAAGGATTGAATTGCCTACTGTACTCTGCATGAGGCGTTGCATTGGGTAAAGGAAGGGTACCGTATGACACATACCGTATGCAAAGAAGTACTAAAGGGAGTTAATTTCATTCTAGATTACGGTAGAAGCACTGCATAGCCATTTCAATTCTGCAAAAAACGTACACCATTTCTGACTGCTAAGTCCTGCCTAACAAATGGCATATCCTAGAAAAGTCTGCAGTTCATCTAGAGTGAATCCCTAACAGCATGTGCACATGCTGCTTCTACTATGATTACCTCCAGAACTAAATGTACGGTACCACCCACCACAGACACACGCATGCCTTCCCTTTGGTACGTCACCGGAACACTACAGTGACAAGACAGTTGCAGTCTTGACCCTTCCCAGAATTGCCTCGTGTGTCATCTCCCCGTCGTCCTCCGTGTCTCCACCACCATCCACGTCATCATCACCACCATCCTCGTCAGCATCCACACCATCCACGTCAGCACAACTAATGTGATCGTCCATATCATCCATATCAGAATCCCCTGCGTCCTCCGTGTCACCCCATGGCCCCAATTCCCGCCCCTCCTCTCCTTCATCCTTGTCCCACTCTCCATCCCCTCCCATCCCATCCTGCTCTCCCTTCCACCCCTTCCCTTCCTCCTCCCAGTCCTTTCCACCTTTCATATCTGTCTTCTTCATCCCACCCTCCTCCTCAGTCCCCATACCAACCCTCTCCCTCCCTCCCCCTCTCCCCTTGATTGCCCCTCCCTTCCAAACCAGAGGAACAGAAGTCCAGGTAGGCCCCCCTGCTGCCATCACCCCAAGCCTTCCCGCACCTCTATCCACCCCTCCTGCCGAACCTCCTGCCGAACCTCCTGCCGGACCTCCGCCCGAGCCTCCGCCCGAGCCTCCGCCCGAACCTGCAAGGTCGCAGCAGAGGGCATCCGAGGCTGGAAGGAGGGTACCATCGGAGATTTGGAGGTATCCCCCGAAGAGGAAAATTCGATTCTTGAGAATGGTGTGCTCAAAGTGAATGCGCGGCAACAGAGGGTGGAGAGGGAAGAGCGGAGCAGGAGCAGCAGGAGCAGCAGGAACAGCAGGAACAGGAGCAGGAACAGAAACAGGAGCACGAGCAGGAGGGAGAGGAGGGATGCGAGGACGCTGGTGCAGCTGCTGCTGCTGCTGCTGCTGCTGTTGCAGTTGGTGCTGCTGCTGCTGCTGCTGGTGCCTCTGCTGCTGCTGGTTCTGGCCTTGTCCCTGGTGCTGCTGCTGCTGCTGCTGCTGCTGCTGCTGCTGCTGCTGCTGCTGCTGCAGGCTTGCCAATCCAAGGTGGTTACGAGTGGGATGTGTGGCATACGTGGGAGGCACCTGCAGCAATAGTTCCACAACCATGCAGCAAACACACAGCAAACAGGGACAACCACACATCAAACACACACAAAACACACAACAAACTCCAGACAGCCATTTCGCAGCCATGCCACAGCCATTCGCAAACATCCCAAATATGTCTGTTGGTTTGGACAAACGAGAGAAGGGATGCGACGGGAAAAAGCAGAGGCAAGTGGGAGAGAGGGAGAACTCCTGCCTTCCTACCTCCTGCCATGCACTCACCTGTAACACCGTCCTGGCTTTGGTAACCGCGTCGTACACGTGCAGACACCCCTCCCTCCTCCAAACCAGGAAGTGAGGCACACACCCGACGCCCCACCGCGCTGCTGCATGCTCCAGCAGCCACGTCTCGGGGTGCAAACCCATGTCTCCCATGCACATGCATGCCCTTACCTGCAGCACCTTCCTCCCTCCCTTTAGATGTCCACTCCACCCACTGCTCACCTGTAACACTTTTCTGCCTTTGGTAACCGCGTCGTACACGTGCAGACACCCTTCCCGGCGCCAAACCAGAAAGCGAGGCACACACCCCACGCCCCACCGCGCTGCTGCATGCTCCAGCAGCCACGTCTCGGGGTGCAGACCCTTGCCCGGGGAGAGAGAGACCCACGTGTGGGTAGCAGGGTCGTACATGCACACTAGGTAGGGCGAGCGGGCGGAAGAGGGGTTGAGAGTGGTGGTGGTGTTTGGAATGGTGTTGTTGGGGGTCCATACCCCACGAGCAGCAGCAGCAGCAGGAGGAGGAGGAGGAGCAGGAGGAGTGGTAGCAGCTGCACCAGTGGCAGCAGCAGCAAGAGAGGTGTTTCGGTTGGTGAAAGCTGCAGTCACGAAGTTTGCAGCAGCAGCAATAGGTGCCGCATTAGCAGCATCAGCAGCAGCAGCAACAGTGGCAGCATCAGCAGCAGCAACTCTGGCCCCACCCAATTGAAGCGCATCAGCAGCAACATCTGTAACCGAAACCCGAAACTGGTTCCTCCCGAGCAGAAACAGCCTCCCAGCCAGCACCACACCACTGCACTCATAACACGCACTCGGCATTTCCGGAACTCTCTCCCACACATCAGCTTTCAGATCGTACATTTCAACGGTAGAGAGCGGTTCACACGCCCTCCCTCTCTCCCATAGCCGCCCTCCCGCTACAATCACCTTGCCTTTAATCACTCCGAACGCGAACCCCACCCGACCCTGGTTCATAGGCGCGGCACGCACCCAGATGTCTCGGGCCGGGCTGTACCTCCAGACCTGCACCTCACGTTCGGCAAGCTCAGGGTTGGGAGAATCTGCTCCAGGTTCGGCAGTATCAGCAGCAGCAGCAGCAGCATTGTCAATTGCAGCAACAGCAGCCGCTGCTGCTGCAGCCATAGCGGTTCGGTCCGGGGCTGCATCCGAGGTTCGGGTCCAGACACGGTGCCGAGCCTTTGTCGAGCCTCGGACGGCAAAGAGGAGGAGTTCCGAGCCTAAGGCTTGGAGGCGGCAATCCCATAGGGAACTAGTGTCGGTAGGGTTGGCGAGTTGGGGAGGGAGGGGGGAGAGGGGGTAGAGGGAGTTGGAGGGAGGATGAAAGCCAATCAGACGAAGGCAAGAGGGAGGAGAGGGGGAGGAAGCAGAGGAGGAGGCAGAGGAGGAGGCAGAGGAGGAAGCGGAGCGGGAGGCAGAGGAGGAAGAAGTCGATGAGGAGGAGGGGTGCAGTAAGGAGGAAGAGGGGAAGGGGGTGGTGTGTTGGGTCTGACTGGAGTGCTTTCCACTTCCAACTGATTCCGTGTTGGGATAATCCTTGCTTGTGCTGCCGACATCACTGCTCCTTGTGGTGCTGCCCGTGCTTGCAGGTTGTGTGCCCGTTGCTGGTGTGGCTGAACAAGCAGTCTGGCCATTCGCGCTCATCGTGCGGCGCGAGTGGGAGGAGAGAGGCGGCTTCTTGGTGCTTGATCTCGCTGCTGCTGACTCGCTGCATGCACCTGCAGCTGCGACTCCTGCTGCTGATGCTGATGCTGCACCTGCTGCTGCCGATGAGAAAACAGCAGTTGAGGCTCGTGGGATAGAGGAGGAGGTGATCCGTGGCAGGTGGGAGGTGGACGGATGGGAGGAGGAAGAGGAGGGACGGGAGGAAGTGGACAAGGAGGAAGAGGAGGGAGGCACTCCAAGATCGGAGATGGAGAGGGTGGGGAGGGAGAAGCGAGTGTTGAGGGAGAACTGGAGACTCCTACTTGCTGTCACTGCTGGCGCTGATTCCTTGCCCTTGCTCAACGAGGGAATGAGTTGCAATCCCTTGCCCTTGCTGCAACTGTCACCCCCGCTGCTGCTGCTGCTGCTGCTGCTGCTGCCGCTGCTCCTGTGGCTGTTGCTAAGCGTGCCATTCTCCCCTCCGCCCCCTCCCACCTCTGCCTTCTTCCCTTTATCAGCACAACGGCCATTCCCTTTCCCCACTCCTCCTCCTCCTCTCTCATCTCCACTTCCTCTCCCATCCCCCTCTCCTTTCCTCCCCACCGCTCGCCCAATCCTCTCAGACCTACCCCTTTCCTCCCTGCCCCATCCCCAACCACCCCCCCTCAACGAACCATTCGCTCTCTCGCTGCTATCAACCACTTCCTTTCCCTTCCCTCCTCTCTCGTCCCTGCCACCAACCCCTCTGCTGTTGTTGCTGCTGCGGCTGTTGCTGGTGCTACTGCTGATGCAGCTGCTGCTCCTGCCTATGCCACTCCAGGCCCCACTCCCATCGTTCTTTCCCTGTCCCTGTCCTTGCTCCGACCTGCCTCTTCGTTCCATGCTACTCCCTTCCTCTCTGCCCCTGCTACTGCTACTTCTGCTTCGAAAATTGCTGTTGCTGCTGCTGCTACTGCCGCTCCTACTGCTGCTGGCTCTGGTATCAAGTCCGCTTGTGCGCCTAGTGACAACACCACCCGGAATCCTGCTGTTCTCCCTCCTACTGCTGTCGTAGCTGCTTCTTGCCCTTCTCTCCTCACTCCTCCCTCTGCTCTCTCCACCCCTCTCCCTCCCATCCACACCCCTCCCCCGCCCTTCCCCACTCCTCCTCCTCCCCTCCATCACACTCCTTCCCCTCCCCTCCGCATTCCCATCACCAACACCACTCCCATCACCAGCACCACCCCCCTCGCCCCCTTCCCAAGGCACAACCATAAATACCCACTCTTCCAGCCTCTTGCTCCTCCTCCTCAGCTCCCGAACGTCCTCCCCTGCCAAACCTCGCTCCCAGGCTCGGCAAACTGACCGGCCCGAAGCTAGGTTCAACCATGGAAGTCGGGAAAGGATGTCCAACCCAACGTCATCGGGCAGGTTCGGAAACAGGCCCGGCACAGCCTCAGGCTCAAGTTCAGGAGAATCGTGTCCCAGGGACTTCTCTCCAGGTTCAACTCCAGGTTCGGGACCAGGTTTGATTGCAGGTTCGGGTGCAGGTCCAGCACGAGGTTCGGGTTGAGCCTGTGGCTGTTGGTGAAGCTCAGCTTCAGGTTCGGTTGTGGGTTTGAAAAGCATCCCTCCATTGCTGGTTTGCTCAGTTGACCCAACCATGGCATCATGCATGGCAAAACCCTTGCCTGGTGGTATACCACCAGCTTGCGTGGCGTCAACAGCACCCATACCACCACCTCCCACACGATCAACTCCCAAGCCGTCCTTGCCCTCATGCTGCTGCTCACTGTTTTGCTGCTGCTCACTGTTCTGCTGCTGCTCGCTGTCCTGCTGCTGCTCACCACTCTGCATAGCATCATGGCAAACGGTGCTGCATTCTGCTGCATGTCCCCTGTCGTGAACCATGCCATGCTGTGTCCCATGCACCCCCATCACATCCTCCTCCCCATGCAGAAACGGCCACGGAACCACAGCAGGCGGGCACTCTCGCGCTCGCGCACACGCCCCCCTCTCTGGTAAATCTGAACCAGACTCAACAGAAGCCTTTTGGGGCGCCTCAAGTACAGACTCAAAAGAAGCAGACTCAATTGCAGCAGACTTTCGAACTTCCCCAAGTTTGATGGAACGAAGGCTCCCAGCAGCTGCCAGGCACGGCCAGTGTACGGTGCTGCTGGTGCCACCAGCAGCACCGGCAGCAGCGGCAGCACGGACAGCAGCGGCAGCAGGAGCAGGAGCAGCAGCAGCAGCAGCAGCAGAATGGTGCATGCTGTTTTGTCCTGATTGCAAGCCGTTGGATCCTTCACTGCTGCAATCCCCACCGTCAGCAGCACTGCCACTCCCAACAAGACCGTCAATTTCACCATCGTAATTGCTGACATCAGCATCACCACCATCACCACCGCCAGCACCATCACCACAGCCAGCACCATCACCACCGCCAGCACCATCAGCACCATCACCACAGCCAGCACAATCATTACCATCCTGATCACTGTCATCCACGTCAGCATCCGCATCATAGAACAGCGCATCATCATCCTCGTCATCACCATTTTCTGCTGACGCATCATTAGTCTCTGTCACGTCAGCAGCAGCCACGTCATCACCGTACACGTCACTACCCATGCTATAATACCTGCTACTACCAATACTCAATCCTCTGCTCCTCCTGCTCTCGCCTCCTTCCCTCCTCGCCCTACTGCTGCCCCTCCTCCTCCCCCCAGAAAGCACACTACCCTCAGCAATACTGCTGCTACTGGCGCTTTCCCCCATACAAGCAGAAACAGCCTCACGATCACACCCGTTACTATCACCTCCTGCTGCACCCTCATCTGGTCCCTTCCCATCCGTTACAGGCACAACCCTCCTCGCCCTCCTCCTGCCACCCTGGCCACACACACCCAGCAATCGCACCCTCCTTATAATCCCACCTCGCTGCTTCTCACAACCATCACCATCAAACCCCTCCTTGCCCTTACCCTTGCCTCTCTCGTTGCCTTTGCCCCGACTCCTATCACCAACCCCATCTGTACTACTATCTGGGGTGTTTTGCTCGTTTACCCTCGGGGAAACTTCACAATAAGCATCACGGGACCTCCTCCCGCTGTCGTGATTGCCTTTCCCTGCCACAGCAGCAAGCGGTCTCCTGCTTCTGCTGCCGCCCGCTCTCTTGCTGCACAGCCAGCAATAAGGATCGCTGGGAGAGGTTGCTGCTGCTGTTGACGATGATGCTGACGTGGAAGATACTGCATCTGACGTGGCTGATGCTGTTGCTGACGTGGAAGGGAGCTGGGACGAGCGGCGGGAGGAGAGAGGGGAGGAGAGGAGCAGAGGGAGGAGGAGGGATCTCACACGGTGATGGGGACAGACAGGACCCCGCACGGAGGTTGCGATGGACGGCTGTGATTCATTCAACCGATCTGATTGTGCTGATCGACGGCTGAGAGCGGCTTCCCCAGGATTCGAACCAGAGCCATCCGCGTTATAAGCTGGCTCGCATGCCATATCTACGTGCAGACAGATTACGCGGAGGTACGGAACGGTACGAATTCTCCCTCAAATTGCTTCCCCCGCTTGCACTGATGCTACTTATGCCATAACAATTGAAACTGCGAAAGAGATTTCAACCGACTGAAATCGAGAAGAGGTGCGCGCAACGACAAGCCACCCGTCCTGCTCGATTATGACTACCGAGCAATCCATTCTTCTCGAATCTATGGCCGCTATGACATGAACGATTCGTCCACGCGATCAGCCCCAGTCGCCTCGACGACTCCAATCGCGCAGAGCGCGCCTCGCGATAGTTCGCGAAGTGGCGCGAAAGCCTACGACGATATGAAATTCGGGCCTTGCGACAGCCTCGGACGGTCTGGCGTTAGGCGCGGCGTCGTCGCCAGGCGCGTGACAAGCCATGTTCAGATTCGGAGGATGGTCACACCGAGGACCTAGGGAACGCCGTGGATGGGGAAACCTAGAGACTGCTTGCCAAGTTTGCAGCTGCCTCCTATCAGCAGATGCTCGGTTGGAGAATGCGAAGCGGCTCTGGTGAGATTGGGTGAGATTGGGTGCTCTGGTGAGACTGGGGTGTGATCTCTAGGGGCAATTTGAAGAAGCATAGGACAAATTCTAGGCGGGAATCACATACGCGTTAATGTGCCAGCTTGCATTCTGTAACGTGGTGTGGTTCTGTTGGTGTGGAGTACACATACGTGTGCAAGATTCTAACTGCGGCTCACAGTTTTACAAAACTGCTTCTCCCAACAAGTCCACTCCCTGTAACCTAAATCGGGTACAGATTCTCATTTGATCATCGAGGGAGCAGCGAATCAAACGGGAACTAGGTGATGAAAGCACCATGCTCACGCGCCGCAGGGATCTTTCTACGCGGCGCTTAGGGGTTGCCGGAACCAGAATCAGTGATTTATGGCTGGTCAGGCACAGTACTGATGTGACTGCTAGTGGTCGGTGACTAAACGGTTGTATTTCGTCTTCAGTTCTTCCTAGTACTCAATCTCATCATACTAGGTACACCGAGACGCCTGCTAAGATAGATCGAATGGCATTCAGCAACAGCTACTCTTCTGTAACCCTAAACTCGCGAATTCGATCCTTCCGTATCGCATTCTCCCAGATCTCCTGGACGCGGCGCGTACCACGTCAGTCCGTGACGAAGGTCTCACGCTCGTTGACACGTGTCACAACATCAGTGGTCTGTAGAGCTCGCACTAAGCCCGATGCTATGACGGAAAGTGCAGTAGATTATAAGAGGATCGATTCTGAAAATCCCGAGATAGAGCCGCGAAATGCGAATCAAAGTGGAGGAGAAACTGAAAGAGATATGAGTTTCCAACCTTCAGCATCACCCGGCAATGACCGAACAGAATCCAGCCAATCAGAAGCCAGTGCGGATCGGTGGTTGTCTAATCGCAGCCGTTTATTCGGGCCTTCGGTGATCGTGGAGGTAACTCAGCTGGCGAAGAAGAGAGGAGCCATCAACCTGGGGGAAGGTAATCCCAAGGCTAGGTATTCTGAAAAATAAGAACATTTTCAATTGTTTTTGTTCAGAGGTGACGCCGCTATCAAAGACGTAAGGAGCCTTTAATCTTAAAGAGAGACGCTCAAGGTTGCATACGCCCTCGGATGGTTAGTGGTGTGCCTGGACCGGGTTATGAAACGGCTTGAACCTAGTAGACTCTCTAAGACGTTTAAAGATTCATTAGGTGCATACGACGGTCTGTAGTATGACTAGTTGATGATGGCAAGAAACAGGAACGTTGATGACATCATGGGATGTGTGACCTCAATGTGCATGGCGTGGCATGGCATGGCGTGGCACGGCATGGTATGGAACGGCATGGTATGGAACGGCATGGTATGGAACGGCATGGCATGAAATGGTATGGCATGGCATGGCATGGAATGGTTTGGCATGACATGGCATGAAATGGTATGGAACGGCATGGCATGAAATGGTATGGCATGGCATGGCATGAAATGGAATGGCATGGCATGGCATGAAATGGTATGGCATGGCATAGGCATGAAATGGTATGGCATGGCATGGCATGAAATGGTATGGCATGGCATGGCATGAAATGGTATGGCATGGCATGGCATGAAATGGTATGGCATGGCATGGCATGAAATGGTATGGCATGGCATGGCATGAAATGGTATGGCATGGCATGGCATGAAATGGTATGGCATGGCATGGCATGGCTATGGTGGCACCATCTATTCAGGATTCCCAGACTATGCTGCTCCTCCAGCTCTCAAGGACGCAGGGATGGCTGCCATTGCTTCTGACGTGAACCAATACGAGTGAGTGAGTGGTCAATGCAGCTGTTCTTTTCAATATATCTTGAAAGGTGCTGCTGACGTGAAGCATACGAGTGGGAGAGTAGTGCAGCTGCTTCTTTTGAGTCGTCTCAAGCGTCTGTCAAGGAATCAGGGATGGCCGCCATTGCTGCTGACATGAACCAATACGAGTGAATGAGTGGGCAATGTCTCCCTCGTCCCTCACTCACTACTCGCTTTTCGCTCTCCTCAATTTTCAACCCTGCCCTCTTCACACACATCTCATCAAATCTTTCCCTCTTCTGTCTTTTTCTCAGCCTGGAGTTTACTTGTTTCCTCCTGGAAAATTGAAGAATAACAGTAAAAAAAAAAAAAAACGCAACATAACCCCTGCGTCTGGCCTCTTCCATCTCTCCAACCCCCCAGCTACAACACATCTCTAGCAGAACTCGTGGCACGCACCTTCTCAGAAGCTTCTGGCATTCCAGTGGACCCAGACACGGAGGTCGTGCTCAGCTCCGGCCAGACCTGCGCATTTGCCTCAGCATGCCTGGCAGGTTTGGTTTGTTTCTGCATCGCCATGCCCTTTATTTCCCTTTACTTACCTTTCAACTCCAATGCTTGAAACTGAAAAAACTCGCCATAATTCACTTCTCGCTCCTGCTAAACTCTTCTGAAATTCTCTGTCATCTGCTTTTCCTCTGAACCCTTCTTCAAGCTGGAAATCTACACCCTGCCATCTGCTCTCTCCTGTCTTCTTCTCTCTCTTCCGTATCCTCCCATGCCATAATGGCATCCTGCAGTGTTCCAACCTGGTGATGACGTCATCCTGTTCGACCCTGCCTTTGAGGCGTATCACGGGGCCATTCTGATCGCTGGTGCTAACCCGGTGGGTGGGCGGGTTGGGTGGGCGCGGGTGCGTGAGGGAATAAAGAATTTCAAATGCTACCACGGGGCTTGCCCCTCCTGTCTCTCAATGCCATTCCCACCCTCCGGTCCATGGTCTATTCCTGCTTTTGAGTCGACTCAAAAGCAGTCTCTCAATGCCATTCCCACCCTCCGGTCCATTGTCTATTCCTGCCCGCCTATCCATCCATGCCAGGTGTACGTGGCTCTCACTCCTCCCCACTGGTCGATCGACTTCACCCGTCTCGCAGCCGCCCTCACTCCACTCCCTCATGATGCTACTCTCCTGCTTACCCTTCCCTCCCTTGACCATTCGCTCCCTCCCGTCCGTCCATCCCAGGTGTACGTGCCACTCTCCCCTCCCCACTGGTCCATCGACTTCGCCCGTCTCGCAGCCGCCCTCACTCCACCCACTCTTGATGCTACTCTCCTGCTTACCCCTCCCTCTTTTGACCATTCGCTCCCACCTATCCAGGTGTACGTGCCTCTCTCTCCTCCTCATTGGTCCATCGACTTCACCCGTCTCGCAGCCGCCCTCACTCCACGCACCAAAGGCATCATTCTCAACAGGTGCGTCATTCGTCTCAACACGTGAGTCAAAATAATCTCAACAGGTGCATCGTTCGTCTCCTTGTCAATTCGCCCCTCGCCTTGTTCATCCGTTTCTTCACTCTAGCCGTGCTTGTTCGTTTTGGAATTAGTAAGTTTCACGGACCGGTACTGGTGAAGGTTCCTTTTAAACCCCACCAGCGGGCTGTGTGTTTTTCCCCTCTCAGCCGACTCAAATTGCCTGGTTCTGCACAGGTCACGACCTCGTGTAGAGAGGGTGTTTTTGAGTCGTCTCACTTAAATTCAGCCGACTCGAGTTGCCTACTTCTGCACAGGTCACGGCCTGCCAGCCGTCACAGATGTGGCGTCTCAAAAGTCTGGACAGGTCACGCCCTGCTGCCGGCTATATTGGTTCGACTTTTGAGAATTCACAAAAGTCGCCTCAAAAGTCTTTACAGGTCACGACCTGCCGGCTATATTGGTGCGACTTTTGAGAATTCTCAACAGCCACCTCAAAAGTCTGGACAGGTCATGCCCTGCTGCCGGCTATATTGGTGCGACTTTTGAGAATTCTCAAAAGTCGCCTCAAAAGTCTGCACAGGTCACAACCTGCTGCCGGCTGTCACAGATGAGGAGTACATCGCTTTCCCCTCACCGACCAATCAACCTGCAGCCTCCCTGCTGCCACCAACACTTCTACTCCCACAACACCCACCCCCAACCCTGTCCATGCAGACTTTTGAGTCGACTCAAAAGTCAGCGCTTTCCCCTCACCGACCAATCAACCTGCAGCCTCCCTGCTCCCAACAACACTTCGACTCCCGCAACACCCACCCCCAGCCCTGTCCGTGCAACCCCACAGGCCATGAGTTCTCGCACACACAGAGCTCACTCACCTGGCCCTATTCTGCTGCCATCACGACCTGCTGGCAATCACAGACGAGGTGTACAGTGCTTTCACCTATGGCAGCAACAATACCTCCCTCCTCCCCCCTCCCTCCTGCCTCCCTCCCTCTCACCCTCAACAACTTGCCCCAAACCCCAATTCCCCAATCCACCCCCGCTCCAGTCCGTGCAACCCCACCGGCCGTGTGTTCTCACACACGGAGCTCTCCAAACTAGCAGAGTTCTGTTGCCATCACGACCTGCTCGCAATCACAGATGAGGTGTACAGTGCTTTCACCTATGGCAGCAGTGGCGCCGAGCGCCATGTGTCGCTCGCTCATTGGCCGGGCATGAAGCAGCGCTGCATCGTCACCTCGTCTGTGTCAAAAACGTTCCACGTCACTGGTGGGTGGGTGAGTGGGATGGTGGGTGGGATGGTGGGCATGTGATGGCTATGGCTGCTCTCAGCATCTGCATTGGTACACCTCGTCTGTGTCAAAAACGTTCCACGTCACTGGTGGGTGGGTGGGTGGGATAGTGGGTGGGATGGGTGTGATGGGGGTATGGTGGTTGGGTGACAGAGATGGCAGGGTGCGATGGGGTAGGGTAGTGTTGCGGGCAGGGGTGCTTGGCCGGGCATGAAGCAGCGCTGCATCATCACCAAGACATGCACTCTCCATAATCTCTTCTTTTTTATTCCCTCCTCCTCTTCCAGGTTGGCGAGTGGAATGGACCATAGCCCTGCCGCCCATCGCAGCAGCCATCAGAACCATCAGCACCATCGATGCTTGTGCCCATCGATGCTTGTGCCCATCGTGCCCCTCTTCTCTTCGCCTTTCATTTTCTCCGCTGACCCCTCTCATCCCCTCTCATCCCCTCTCGTTTCTTCCAGGTTGGCGGGTGGGATAGGCGGGTGGGATAGGCGATAGGCGGGTGGGATAGGCGGATGGGATAGGCGGATGGGATAGGCGGGTGAGATAGGCGGGTGGGATAGGCGGGTGGGAAAGGCGGGTGGGATAGGCGGGTGGGATAGGCGGGTGGGATAGGCGGGTGGGATGGGTGGGCCATAGCCCCGCCGCCCATCGCAGCAGCCATCAGCACCATCAGCGCCATCAGTGCTTGCGCCCATCGTGCCCCTCTTCTCTTTCCTCTTATGTCTTCCTCTCTTCCCTCCTCCTCTTCCAGGTTCGCGGGTGGGGTGGGCCATAGTCCCGCCCCCCATAGCAGCAGCCATCAGCACCATCAGCACCATCAGCACCATCAGCAGCCATCAGCACCATCAGCGATTGTGGAAAACCGAATTGCTCCCTCCATTCTTGATGTCCTTCGTTTTTCCAGGTTGGCGGGTGGGGTGGGCCATAGCCCCAGCGCCCATCGCAGCAGCCATCAGCACCATCAGTGCCAAGCTCATCGACACTCCTCCAGCCCCCTTCCAGGAAGCTTCTCGTGCTGCACTGTGCCTTCCGCCATCCTACTACACTCAATTGAGAGAGGTATGATTGCATCAGCCCTTTAAACCAATGCCCAGCTTTTGAGTCGACTCAAAAGCAAAAATTGAGAGAGGTATGATTGCATCAGCCCTTTAAACCAATGCCCAGGACTACACCCTCAAGCGGGACACAGCAGTGGCCATGCTGCTGGAAGCGGGGCTCGAGGCGCCTCTCATGTTAGTCTTCTCACATTCCCGAGCTATGGAATTTCATGTGTGCTCCTCTTTCTCTCCATCCTACCCCCAGGACTACACACACAAGCGGGACACAGCAGTGGCCATGCTGCTGGAAGCGGGGCTGGAGGTGACTCTTGTTCCGGAGGGGTCTGTGTTTGTCTTCGCCCGCATTCCCGAGCGATGGGGTGTTGATGATGTAAGCAGAGGCGTGCTGATCATTTAAAGAATGGGAAGTTCATGCAGAGTCATTTTCGTCATTGTTTCCTTATTATTATTATGCTTATCCTGTCACGCTCCTCCCTTTGATCTGCCTGTTGCGCCGCCCCTTTTCTCCCTTCCCTCCCATCCTTCTCTCTCCCCGTCTTCTCTCATTCTCTTCTCTTCTTCTCTCATTCTCTTCTCTTCTTCCTCCCCACTCTCTTGTCCAGCTTCACTTCTGCTCTACAGGCGAGTCACAGAGAATGTGAAGTGGCCTTTTGACGTGCCTCATGATCGGACTTCTCTCTTCTTGCTTTTGAGTCGACTCACAAGTCAACTTTTTAACTAACAACATTTTTTACAAAGTTGAATCAGTCGCAGCCAGGTAAAGACATGGCTCCTATCTGGGGCTCCATTGGACAGGCGAGTCACAGAGATTGTGAAGTGGCCTTTTGACGTGCCTCATGATCAGACTTCTCTCTTCTTGCTTGCTTCTCCATTCTCTCACCCTCCCAGCTTCACTTCTGCAGGCGAGTGATCGAAGAATGCGGAGTGGCCTTCGTCCCAGGTCGAATATTCTTCCACCCCACCCACTCCACCTCACCTGGAAATCCACCTGATAGTTCACCTGACCAACAACCTGAGCACTCACTTGACAACCGAATCCAGCACCAACCTGATCAGCCACGTGGCGTCCTATCAGCCGTTGGATCTATCCCTAGCGATGCAGCCCGTGAGGAGGGGTGTGGCGATGGCGCTGACGAGCATGCAGAGGCAAGGACCAATCTGGTCGTGCCACCTCAGCATCGGTATGTCCGCGTGGCGTTCTGCAAGAGCATGGAGACGCTGCAAGCGGCTCGATTAGCTCTACAGCACATGCAGGGGATGTTTGGTTTGTCTTAGGTTATACGGTAGTACACTGAATGTTCATTATATGCTTCAATGTTCTGTGGTAAGCGACCACAGTAATGGCATGTTTTCGGAACAGATGAGGAGAAGCAAGTTAGTCAGAGCTTCGGATGCACCGTATGTTGCGGTCTTCATGCAATTTATGCGAAACAAATCTCTGATTTTCTGTAAGAACTGGTGCAACACTTAATGAAGCCCTGATGACAACTACCGCCTAGTTTTGACCTAGCAGGCATCTACATGCGAGTAAATGCTCTGTGGGTGGAGCAGCATGCGTGCGGTGCGGCATGTCCAGTGAAGCAAGGATAAGATCCCATCCTGGCAACGGCCTTTCTTTGTGTGTGTGTGTGTGTGTGTGTGTGTGTGTGTGTGTGTGTGTGTGTGTGTGTGTGTGTGTGTGTGTGTGTGTGTGTGTGAGAGAGAGAGAGAGAGAGAGAGAGAGAGAGAGAGAGAGAGAGAGAGAGAGAGAGAGAGAGAGAGAGAGAGAGAGAGAGAGAGAGAGAGAGAGGCGCTTCCATAGAAAGCATGCGAATAGTAAGTGCTCCGCGGGTGTTGTGAACAGCAGGCGTGCAATGAGTCGATTTTTGAGTCGACTCAAAAATCGACTCATCACATGTGGGTGTTACTAGTGAACAGCAGGTGTGCTTTCGAGAAGTCTCAACAATAGTAAGTGCTCTACGGGTGTTACAGATGAACAGCAGGCGTGCAGTCACGTTTCGGAACGACACTCATCCCAACACGGCGAGGAGGGGACGGGAGAAACGGCGAGAAGAGAAGCGGATGCGGAGAGGGAAGAAGGGGAGGGGAGGACGAATCGCGGCCAAGTCGGAAAGCAAGCTCTGCTGGCAGCACTGAAGATCAAACAGGCAAGCAAGAGATAGAAAATGGTGACGTGGCTCTTATCCAGTGGTCAGCAACAGCGCCGTCGTCGGTTTGAGTCGCGGCTGGAAAATGGCCGCTGGTCGCGCCTCGTACCAGAACGCAGTTTTTCCTTCCCTGTCGGCGGAACCTCTAGCCATCGAAAACAGTTTTCCTTTTGGGCGCGAAGAAAAAATGGATTCGCGCAATAGCATGATGCTGCTGACTCCAGCCTCCAGCGAGTTCAACGAATGTGTACTACACGTGGGGTTGTCTTGAGCAGCCGTATCACGGATAAGAGCTGGCATGTGGAAATAAGAGCCTCTCATTCTGGGATAACCACACGGGGAGATTCGTACAGTATTCGTGCACGCACGCGCGACGCTCCTGCCTATCCGATTGGAAGAAAAGAAGCGATTTGAAACCCTGAAATTAGGAACACTGCATTTGGTAGCCTAACTTTCGAGGCGCGCATTTTGATAAGGAATCTCAAGATACGTCCGGCGGTCCGGGCGGAGCCGCGTGGTGGGAATGCCAGAGCGGCAGCAATTTTTCATTTACAGTATGTTGGGGGTGGAATGTGTCGTCTGGGTTCGCATAACCTTTCGCGAGGACCATGAGCCGTTCGATAGGACCCCATCGGGTTTCCCATTTTCGTGGTCAGCCCTGCTCTTCTCTCCCTTTCCCCCTCGCTCACTCCCATTTGCCTTCGCGTATATATCGAGGTGTTCGCTCAGTTATCGTTTCGTTTTTCTGCACACTACCTATCGTTTTTCATCATCTGCTGTTAGGACGGGAAGACTTTGCTCTGAATCGCAGTCCTCGATGTAGAGTGTTTTGGTCTTGCGGTGTTTGAGTGTTGCCATCACCCGAAGTCCATACAGACTACATCTCTTCGCAGATGCCCTCTCACGGGACGCCGAGCAGATGAACAAGATCCACATGCCCTCTTCGCGACAGGGACATCGTGTTACCACAATATATTTCTAACACCGAAGCCACTCTCGTTCCTGCGCGTACCCTCCTCGCTGTTCGTCGATGTAGTACTTCGCTAAAGAGTGCTTCGCCTTTCCGAGTCCAAGGAAATTCCGCACTTATAGCCCAAGATCCAAGATGTTGAGTCTCGAGCCGCCGCCACAGCAGCAGCATTTCATCTCGGGCTGCTGTGCTTCGAAGGTAAACAGCCAACCCGAGATGCTGATCTGGCGCGTCTTCCATCAGCGAAATCTTCCACACGAGTGAGCTACTCTTCACGTCGAATCCACATGATCCGCGTGGACAAAGGCGGCGGAGCACGAGCACTCCGCAATTTCACCGAAGACCTGATAACCTGAATGTGGACTCCACAAATGTGCGCCTCGATACGGACAAGCGAACCCAGCCCACCGCCGAGTCGCAAACTCTCGCGCGATCTGGTAACGAGAAAAATTCAATGGTCCGAGACATTTGGGCTCGCTTGGAATTTCTGTGTCCTCGCAGCTCACTCCCTGCAGTATCGTTTGCGCTGGATAAAAAGGTCGAGTCTCGCCAGATCAGTCACACATCCTCCAGTGTTTATTCCATTCAGTTGCCACACTTGCTACTTCTACCAGCTGTGACACCATCGTCGCAGCAGAAGCAGCAACTTGTGGACTGGAATTTTTCCAGGCATATTTTGCCCATCTACTCGCCCATCTGAATCGGTCTTCTGAGAAGAACATGGCTCGTGTCGGGCTTTACCACACTGCATTGGCCTTTCTGGCCATGTCGGTGCTTCTCCCCTGCTCCACCGCGGCGATTGCCAAGGCGTGGGGCGGCGCGCAGCCTCTCGAACCGGTATGTTCATTTAACTTTCTCCGCTCTGAACGTTTTGGAACCATCGTCACGCCAGCCCTAATCGAACTTCACGATCAACACGTGGCAGTAACTTTTCCACCGATATTTCCTGGTACTCTTCGTACGTGGGCTTAAAATCAGCTCATTCTAATCTTTTATTTGAAACCTATCACAGATGGCCAACGCGCTGATCGCCGAGTGGAACAAGAAAGTCAAACCTGCGCTACAATTCGGCAAATATGATCCCTCCAGCTCCAGCAATGGCGTTGCGGGATTCTACAACGGGACCTACTTAATCGGCGCCTCATCTGAGCCAATCAGCGCCGACAAGGAGATCGCCACGATCCCCAAGATCACCGTCCCTCTCGCTATTGTCACGTACAGCTTCTTCGTGACAAAAGCCGCGGGAGCCAAGCCGCTTGTTCTCAACGCCAAGCAATCGTTTGATATCATCTCCGGCGCGACAACTTCCTGGGCCGATGTTCCCGGCGCGGCCGCCGCGAAACTCACCGGCCCGATCACGCGCGTCGCGCGCAGCACCAAAGTCGCGACGACGGCGATCGTCCAGCAGATGTGGTTGAAGGCCGGCGCGGGCTACCCCGCCGGCGGCGACACCACCGGCAAGCCCTTCACGTACGCCGGCCTCACTTTCGCCGCGACGAACGGCGATATGTGCACCAAAATCGCCGGGACGCCCGGCAGCATCGGGTATTCGCACACTGGCGGATGCAAGAACAAGGCTGGTGTGGCGGAAGTGGCTCTGAAGAACAGGAAGAACGTGGCCATCTCTTCTCTGAGCTGGAACCCCATTGTCGCCCTTCCCGCAAAGGTTCCTGCTCCGGACAAGACCTGGGACTCCGTCGATCTGATCTGGACCGCGAACGCCAAGGCGCCTCCCATGGTTTCCATGCAATATTCTTTCATAAAGAAGAATCTCAAGAAACCCAAGGTCCCTAACGGTGCAGTTGCAAAGGCGTTTCTGCTGTTCATCCTTCCCAAGGCGGGCCAGAAGGCATCTACCAGCGGCTTCCTGCCAGTTCCGGCCAAGTGGTGGGCTCCTTCGTATACGGCCATCAATAACACTGTTCTTGTGTAGTAGGTAGTTGCCGGGCCTGCATAGGAGGCTGATATGGAGATTTGTGCTATTTTTAGTTCACGGCAGTTTTGGGTGCTGGCATGGTAATTGCCGGGCTATAGGAGGCTGTAAGTTGCCCTGGCTTGTTTGAAGTGCAAGTATGCAGAGGGGTTTTTGGTTTGGACTTTGTCTGATCGTTGTATGGTTATGGGAGGGTCATTTTCAGTACTGTCTTTGCTCAATGCCCATCCCAACTAATCTCAGCATATTGATTCAACCAATGGACAAGTTGAGTGAGAGGTCTCGATGAGCCGCTTTTATATGAAACGAAAATGACCCGCCTCGAGCTAGAAGCTGAGGTTTCAGAATGAGTGACTCGTTATTGTTGGGCTGAGATAGCCCCTTAGGATCTTTGCAAGGGATAACTCTAGGTGAAGTAGTTGTAATAGCGGAAGCGTTTAGTGAAGAATTTGAACCGACCTTGCACTGGTGTGTGAGAGCAAAGTTGATTGAATTAAACAAGCAAATACAAGGATTTATATAAGAGTACAGGGAATAGATAGATAACTGTATTGCTGTTGCGGTTCGATATAGCGCGACTCGGGCAACTGCTCTGTAACGAGTCAGTTGTGTGTCCTTAACTGTCGCGCTGTAATTGTCGAGTCAAAGGTCAGCGACCTTTGACTTTCTCGTAACCTCCAGGCGGTTACCCTAACCTCCGAGGTTGACTCGGTGCTTCGATTGGGACTGCTTCGCTTGGTACCTTGGATTTTGATACGACAGAAGCGCACTTAGGACTTATTGTTTCCAACACTCCCCTTCGCTTCTGGAGTGTTACTGCTGGTGACGTGGCCTTGTCCAGTCAGCATCATGCAGTATTCGAACTTCTGCTTGCCGAGTTTCTTGGTCAAGTAATCGGCTGCCATCTCGGATGTTGGACAGTATGACAGATCGAGTTTCCCTTTTCCTATCTCGTCCTTCACGAAGAAATAGCGCAGGGCGATGTGTTTCGTCCTGTTTGCGAAGCCGTTTTTGTTGGCGATGCGAATTGCTGACTGGTTGTCGCAGAACACGGTGAAGCTGGGTAACTCGGCTAGCTTTGCTTCTTCCAGTAGTTCGCGAAGGTAAAGTCCCTCCTTGGTGGCTGAGCAGAGTGCAATATATTCTGCTTCTGCTGAAGATAGTGCGATTAACTCCTGCTTGCTCGACTGCCAGGAGATAGGACCGATAGGCTCAAGGCGGTAGACATAGCCGGTGCGTGAGCGCCTGTTGTCGGTGTCGCCGGCGTGATCGGCGTCGACGTAGCCGATTAGCTTAGTCGGTGTAGCTGCGCTCTTGTGGTAGGTTAGCCCGATCGTCGCGGTGCTGACGAAGTAGTGGAGAGCGCGATCAAGTTCCGCCAGGTGTTCAGCTTCAGGCTTCTTGAGATAGGTGGCGAGCTGACTTGCGGAGTAGGATAAGTCAGGACGGCAGGTGACGGCGGCGAATAGCAGGCATCCGAGCTTCTTCTGATAGTCGCGTATGCCGGCGGGCTTGAGTAGAGTAGTTCGTTCCTTCTCGGTTCCTGATGTGTAGCGGTAGGGCGTGGAGATGACGCTTGGTGTGAGGCTGAAGCGTTTCGCGATGGTGTCGGCGTATTTCTCGGCGCTTAGATAGATGGCGTTTTCTTCTTCGCGGATGTTGAGCCCGAGGTACTGTGTAACGGTGGAGGAGACCGTGAGCGTGAGGTCTTTCTGGAGCTCTCCTTCGAACCACGTGGCGATGCCGTCGGTTGACCCAATGTAGAGGAGATCGTCCACGTAGACGATCAGGAGAACGTAGTCGCTTCCCTTAGTGAGGCGGTACATGCCTTGGTCGTGAGGTAGTTGACTAAAGCCGATGCGGATGAGACGGGCGTGAAGGTACTGCTGCCACAGTCGCGGTGCCTGCTTGATCCCGTAGAGCGACTTAAGTAGTTGACAGATTCGGTTGGGTTCGCCGTGGGAACCGTGCGGGAGCTCGACGTAGATTTCTGCATCCACAGGTGCGTAGAGGAAGGCATTCGCGACGTCGATCTGCCGTAACTTCTTCTTCTTCATGGCGGCAATGGCGAGGAGAATTCGGAGTGACGTGTGGCGGCTGACTGGAGCAAAGGACTCGGTGAAGTCTCGTCCTTGCTCTTGGTCGAATCCACGTACGACCCAGCGTGCTTTGAATTTTTCGATCGTGCCGTCTGCTTTCGTCTTGATGCGGAAGACCCATTTCCCGGTAAGGATGGTTTTGTTCCGTGCCACGCTTACGGGAACAACCTTCCAAGTGTTGCGTTCCTCTAATGCCTTCAGTTCTCTATCCATGGCTTCACGCCATTTCTCCCTGTGTTCCCCCCCCAGAGCCTGCTGAACCGTTGCAGGCTCCTTAGGAAGCGAGCTGCGTGTGTTCCCGTGGACTGCGGTGACGAGGCCGAGGATTTGCAGCCCAGTCTGTGAGTATCGAGGGAGTTCTGGATCCTCGGGATAAGCTGCTTCGTCTCCCGTTTCTGGGTCGGGCATGAAATTTGGCCCTACCCTTTCTGCTTCGTTGGTGTTGACTGTCACAGGTGTTACGTAACCATCGTCGGCGAAACGGTAGAAGATTTCGGCGTTGTTACTGTCGCGAGGATTATCCTCATCCATGGGCACGTCGACGGAGCAGTATGGGAGAGGTCCGGCCTCTTCTGAGGCGTTGTCGACGTTCTGTTCATCCCAGTCTGCTTCGTCCGCTGCTGACGCGAAGGCTCGGTCACCACGAAAACCACTGGTGAGGTCCCGATTCTCGTGCAAGTTGGCGAGGTACGTCTGAAGGGTGAGTCTTTCGTAGAAGATCACGTCACGTGCTGCTACTGTTTCCTTTGTGTGGACGTCGAAGATTTTCCATGCGTTGTAATTTTTCTCGATGCCGAGGTGTAGTCCCCACTGTGCCCGTTGCGAAAATCTTCCCGCTCGTGCTTCTGGGGGTCTGTACTGTACCATGCACCCGAAAACTCGTAACATTTTCGTGCTGCCCTGCTTCCCTGTCCACAGCAGATGCGGTGATGCGTTGTTCGGGAGTGACGATGACGACAACAAGTTGTGTAGCATGACAGCGTGGTCCATTGCTGCTGGCCACTGGTGGTTGGGTAGCCGCATGCCACGTAATAGTTTGCGCATGCTGTTCTGCAGGGTCCTGTTCAGTCGTTCTGCAACACCTTGCTGCTGATGTGCGTAGGGAAGGGAGAGGAGTTGCTTGATCCCCCTTTCCGCCAAGAACTGCTTGAAGCGGTGAGAGGTGTACTCGCCACCTCCGTCTGACTGGAAATTTTTCAGTTGTGTTCCAGACTCTCTCTCTGCTATCGGTAGCCAGGCGGCGAATGCTGCGAGCGCCATGTCGCGGCTGGGTAGGTTGCGATGCCAGACGTATCGAGTGGCGGCGTCGATGAAGGTGATGGTGTAGTTGTAGTTGACTTGTCCTGGCTCGCGATTGTAGAGGATGTCGCTGTAGACTTTTTCGAGTGGTGCGTACGCTGGAGCGCTCGGGTTGTGATGTGAAGCAAACGGTCGATGAGGTAAGTCAGCTTCGGGACATATAAGGCAAGTCCCTCGTGCCTTCTGGAGTTCTCTGCCATCGGGTAGAAGTAGAGAATCTTTGTCAAGGACTCCTGCTCTTATCGTGTTATTCAAAACCGTGTTGCTTGGATGTCCTGTTCGTGCGTGCCAGATCTCTTCAGAGGCGCGGTGTCCAGGTGAACGCTGATATGCGTCGGAGTTGGAGTAAAAGCTGGCGACGAGGTTGGCGCTTCGGTGGACTTCACGTTGAGTCGGATTCAGCTGTTTCGCGGGTGTTGGTGGTGCTTCGTCGACTGTGACTGGTGTCGTTGTTCCTGCTGCTGCTGATGTTGTTGCTGCTACCGATGTTGTTACTGCTGCTGATGTTGTTGCTGCTGCCGATGTTGTTACTGCTGCCGATTGTCGAATTGTTGCTAATGCTCGTGTTCGTTCTGCTTCAGGAATGGTGTGCGAGTACCAGAAGCCTCCTGGGCTGAAGTCGGGGTCGAGATCCGGAGGGTGTGTCCAGTCAGTGAAATTCACGATGGCGTCGCTGTCTGCAGTGCCCAGGTCAGGAACGAAGTCGAGGACGAAGACGTTGTTCTTCAGCACTGCTTTCCCGATGTAGAGACCGCCTCTCCCGTGGTAAAGTTTGAACTCCTGAGTCGTGCTGTCGGCTTCCAGATGAATTCCTTTCGCCATCAACTGGCTAACGCTCAGTAAGTTGTAGCCGAGTCCTTCAGCGATGAGTACCTTAGACATGTGCAGTATGACATTTGTTTCTCTTGACTGAAGCTGTACCACTCCTTGTCTTCGTGTGCGCAGGTTTTGGTTGTTGGCAACCGTGATGATCACTTCCCGTTGGAGTCGATGTTCGCGTTGTACGAAACGCCCGGACGAGCACATGTGTTGCCCGCAGCAACTGTCCAAGAACCAGGTGTCTTGGCCGGACGGTTCACTTTGAGCGATGGCGGCGTACGTTGGATTCGGCTGGAGTAGCTCACGGCGAGGCGTTCTGTTGTCAAGCTCTTCTTCCGGTGAGTAGTGTGGTGGTGATTCGGTTGTACATGAATCGGTTATCTTCGTCATGCAGTTGATTATATTTCTTGCTCTTTGTGCAGGTTGTCCGGGTGAAGTCGTTGAAGCTTGAATAGTGGTCGTCGCACTTGCTTGTGTTGAAGCCATTTGGGAGCTTGAAGGTCGAAGTTGTCGCTGTGGTGCCGTTGATTGCTGACGATTCGGGCAGTGTGTGCGCGGGTGCCCTGAAGTCTTGCAGATGTGGCAGAAGGGAGGTACTATCTTCGGTTGCTGCTGTCGGTTGTTATAATTGCTGTGTCGTCGTTGAGTGTGGAATGCGAACTCTGATACTGTCGTTTTCTTCCTGTGTCGTTCTTCCTGCAGGTCCATATCTTGCTGCTCGGCATGTATTTCGGCGCAGAGTGCAGCTTCAGAGATTCTTCCGTGGGCTCGAAGAATGGCTTTGGTGGCGCGCCACTGAGGACCAAGCCCACCAATGATGACTGTCACGAAGGCGTCTTCAGAGATTGACCCTCCGCATCGAAGCAGCTTGTCGCGCAGTTCGCGACATCGGCTGATATACGCCAGTCCCTTTTCTCCTGGTTTCATTTCGACTGTCGTCAACTGCGCCATTAACCTGCTCTGGTTTACACTGTCTGTTGCTTGATACAGGTTCTTCAGATGGCTGTACGCGAGCTCCGCCGAGTTGCCGAAGGTCCGGTAAGAGCGAATGTTCTGCTGCTGAGTTGGTGTCACGTTCCTCAATAGGATTGTATACGCCATCATTGATTGATACGTATACTGCTGCTTTTCATATTGTGTCCCGTTGGCTGGATACTGCAGGGACCCGTCGAAGAAGCCGAGTATCTGCGCGCCCTCCATCATCAGCTCGAATTCAAAGGACCAGGTAAAGAAGTCTTTGCCGTCGAAGGGTCTTGACGTTTGCAGTTTTAAGACGTGTGCAAACTGCGACTGAACTTGAAGTGCGTCCAGTGGTCTTTCTTGTCCAGGTGAAGGTTGCGGGTGGGGCACGAAGCTGATTGACCCGCGCTCGTACGGAGCAAAGGTAGGTTGCTGCTGCTGGTTTCCTCGCGCATATGACGACCCATCAAGACTCATGGGTGTCGCTCCGTTGTTGCTGTTGTGTGTTTGTGCAGGTCCCGACTGCTGGTGTTGTTCGTAGAAGGACATGAAGGAGAAAAATTTCTCCATCATGTTCTGGTCAAAGTCCGAAGGGTGGTTCATGGGGGTCTCGGTTGACGTTCCTCTTGGTCTTGTTGTCGTGCCTTCTTCTGTCTGCAGGCCAGAGGCTGGCGGTGGAGTAGGAGTAGTGCCCGAGGAGCCATTAGGGGAGCTCCTTTCCTTGTTTGTTGCCATGTCTTGTAATGATATTGAAAAAGGAGTAGAGTTTCCCTTGTCTGCTCTCATACCATGTTGGGCTGAGATAGCCCCTTAGGATCTTTGCAAGGGATAACTCTAGGTGAAGTAGTTGTAATAGCGGAAGCGTTTAGTGAAGAATTTGAACCGACCTTGCACTGGTGTGTGAGAGCAAAGTTGATTGAATTAAACAAGCAAATACAAGGATTTATATAAGAGTACAGGGAATAGATAGATAACTGTATTGCTGTTGCGGTTCGATATAGCGCGACTCGGGCAACTGCTCTGTAACGAGTCAGTTGTGTGTCCTTAACTGTCGCGCTGTAATTGTCGAGTCAAAGGTCAGCGACCTTTGACTTTCTCGTAACCTCCAGGCGGTTACCCTAACCTCCGAGGTTGACTCGATGCTTCGATTGGGACTGCTTTGCTTGGTACCTTGGATTTTGATACGACAGAAGCGCACTTAGGACTTATTGTTTCCAACAGTTATGAGCTTGGCGTGATCGAGGCATACTACTTGAACAGTAGAGCATATCAAGAGAAAACAAAAACAGAACAGTTTTATGTACGTTCTGCTGCTGGATGCAAAGCAGAACTGAAAACAAAACACAACAGCATGCGAGCAATAAACTGTTGGACGCATCAAATGCGATAATGGTGTACGGAATTTATGGCACCAAGCAAGAGGAAATAAGTTCCAAGACTAAGGGCAACAGGAACAGAAGAGAAGGATGAGGCAGAAAAAGAGGAACGGTAATTGTAACAGCGTCAATTGTAGAAACGAGGATGAGAAGGACGAGGAAGGCAATAATGAGTCGTGTGCCTTGGTAAAGAGGTGACTTTTGAGTTGACTCAAGAGGTATGGTAGGTTCATGGGATGAAACACCGTCAATCGTAGAAGATGAGGATGAGGAGGACGAGGAAGGCGATAACGAGAGCGAGGAGAATACACAGCTGTCCCTTCAACCCAGCCTTCTTCAGAACCACTGTCATCTTTTTCTGTTGATAGCGAAGCAGGAAAGCGAAAGGCGGGGAGGAGAGGAAGGAGACGGAGGGGAGGGAGGAGAAGAAGGAGAGGGAGGCGAGGGAGGAGATGACTTATGAGTCGCAAAGGCTACCCCTTCAGAACTACTACCATGATGCCAGCTGCTGTTGTTCTTAGTAGAACCATGTGATAAAAGTTGGGTTTTGAGACGTCTCAAAATACACTTTTTACACCCAGCTGCTTTTGTTCTTAGTAGAACAATGAGATAAAAGTTGGGTTTTGAGACGTTTCAAAACCCAACTTCTGAGACGTTCAAAACCCAACTTTTATCCAACGCTACCCCTCAGAACCACTACAATGATGCCAGTTTTTTTTGTTCATAGCAGAACCGACAAAGGAAAGGGAAGAGAGTTGAGGAGAGCAGAGGAGGGTGGGTGGAGGGCAGATGGGGACGAGAATAAGTGAAGTAGAAAACAAGCCAATCCTATCCCCTGCCCTTACAGTTTATTACGGAACAAACAGGAAGGGGAATAAAGGGAGGGAGGGTAGAGGAACAGGCGAAGGGAGGAGAGGGCTATTGAACGGCTACAAGTGATGCAAATCCTACCTGGAACGTGAGTGTAATGTCTGTACTGAGTCGCTTTTTGAGTCGACTCAAAAAGCAACTCCTACCTGGAACGTGAGTGTAATGTTTGTAGCTGGAACAAAAACTGCTCAATCAGGAAACGGCATCTGGATCAGTCACAGAACACTGAACCGAACTGAACCCACACCACCACCCAAAAGCAGCTATTTCTCGAACCATAAACCAAATCAGGTATCACCCAAACCAGGTATCACCCAAACCAGCCATCACCCGAACCAGACATCACCCAAACCAAGCATCACCCGAACCAAGCATCACCCGAGCCATATCTCACCTGTACCAGTCCTAGCCGCCCACCAGTTCTCTCCATTCCCTCGTCCAACTCTCCTATTAGTGATTCCTGTCCATGGGCCGAGGGTGGGTGGGGGGGAAAAGGAGAAGGGAGGGAGGGAGGGAGGGAGGGAGGGAGGGAGGGAGGGAGGGAGGGAGGGAGGGAGGGAGGGAGGGAGGGAGAGGGAGAGACGGAGGGAGGAAGAAGGAGAAAGGACGGGCAGAGTGAGTGCAAGTGGGAAACATGCTTGGCAGAGGAAGGACGGGCAGAAGGTAACTTACCCAAAAACAAGTTGGTTCTTCAGAATTCTAAAAAACCAACGGGTAAGTCATCCTGTTCCCACATGAGCCCACCTGGGAGCCCAGCTCCTCGTGAATGGCAATGCTTTCAAGAAATTTCAGAACAGACAGGGTAAGGTCGACAGAGGGAAGAAGACATGACCTGATCCCACACAAGTTGGTTGGTTGTTCAGCCCACATAAAGGCCCAGCTCCTCGTGAATGGCAGGCAATGCCATGCTGTGCACTTGCTGTATGCTGTGTGCACTTGCTGTATGCTGTGTGCACTTGCTGTATGCTGTGTGCACTTGCTGTATGCTGTGTGCACTTGCTGTATGCTGTGTGCACTTGCTGTATGCTGTGTGCACTTGCTGTATGCTGTGTGCACTTGCTGTATGCTGTGTGCACTTGCTGTATGCTGTGTGCACTTGCTGTATGCTGTGTGCACTTGCTGTATGCTGTGTGCACTTGCTGTATGCTGTGTGCACTTGCTGTATGCTGTGTGCACTTGCTGTATGCTGTGTGCACTTGCTGTATGCTGTGTGCACTTGCTGTATGCTGTGTGCACTTGCTGTATGCTGTGTGCACTCACAGTATGCTGTGTGCACTTGCTGTATGCTGTGTGCACTTGCTGTATGCTGTGTGCACTTGCTGTATGCTGTGTGCACTTGCTGTATGCTGTGTGCACTTGCTGTATGCTGTGTGCACTTGCTGTATGCTGTGTGCACTTGCTGTATGCTGTGTGACTCAAGCTCACTCACCTGACCTGGCCACCTGGCAGCTCACCTGGGACCCAAGCTCTTCGTGAATGTCAATGCCCATGCTGTGCACCTGTGGGGGCACCTGAGATCCCACCTGACCACCTGAGAGCCCACCTGGCCACCTGGCAGCTCACCTGGGATCAAAGCTCCTCGTGAATGGCAATACCCATGCTGTGCACTTGTGGGGGCACCTGATCACCTGAGATCCCACCTGACCACCTGAGAGCCCACCTGACCACCTGTCAGCTCCCCTGACCACCTGGCAGCTCACCTGGGACCCAAGCTCCTCGTGAATGGCAATGCCCATGCTGTGTGCACTTGCTGTATGCTGTGTAAATCAAGCTCACCTGACCACCTGAGAGCCCACCTGACCACCTGAGTGCCCACCTGACCACCTGGCGCCTCACCTGGGAGCCCAGCTCCTCGTGAATGGCAATGCCCATGCCTCCTATCCGAGCCAGACTCTGACTCATCGCATCCAATTGGTCGTCCTGCTCCCTGTACTCGTTACAACGGGATTCAGTACAGGAGAATAGCACATTGCATGAGTGATTGCCCCCCCATGCCTCCTATCCGAGCCAGACTCTGACTCATGGCGTCCAGCTGGTCGTCCTGCTCCCTGTACTCGTTACAAAAGAGGGAATTCAGTATAAGAGAATAGCACGTTGCATGAGTGAATGCACCCCCCATGCCTCCAGTTAGGGATGAGCAAAGGGCGAACACGAACATGTTCGTCTTCGCCCCTTGTCGAACACCCTCTTTTGCCGAACCGAACAGTGTTCGGTTCGGCGAACAGTTTAGGAAAAAACAGGTGTTCGCTGTTCGCCTGTGGAGGCGTGTTCGGGCGAACCTCGAACACTGTTCGTGTTCGTCGCGGGCAAATTTCAGCAGCGGCCCGAACACGAACGTGTTCGGGCGAACATCGAACACTGTTCGGCGAACGATTTGAGCTAAAAAACAAAACCTGTTCGGTTCGCCTCGAACACGTTCGAGGCGAACCGAACAGGTGTTCGCCACCTTGCTCATCCCTACCTCCAGTCCAAGTCAGACTGACTCATCGCGTCAAGCTGGTCATCCTCCCCCCTGTACTCGTTACAGGGGGTGTCCTATTAATCGTTATCACTACCACCTACGTCAATACCTAAAAAATGCCCATGTTTTCATGTTTTTGTCCTATTTGTTTCAATAAACCTTGGTACGGTTTGCACATTCCACATACCTCATGCATGATCAGTGAGTCTAATTTTTGAGTCGACTCAAAAGCACTCCCACTTACCTCATGATCAGTGAGTCTAATTTTTGAGTCGACTCAAAAGCACTCCCACTTACCTCATGATCAGTGAGTCTAATTTTTGAGTCGACTCAAAAGCACTCCCACTTACCTCATGATCAGTGAGTCTATTTTTGAGTCGACTCAAAAGCACTCCCACTTACCTCATGATCAGTGAGTCTATTTTTGAGTCGACTCAAAAGCACTCCCACTTACCTCATGATCAGTGAGTCTATTTTTGAGTCGACTCAAAAGCACTCCCACTTACCTCATGATCAGTGAGTCTATTTTTGAGTCGACTCAAAAGCACTCCCACATACCTCATGATCAGTGAGTCTATTTTTGGGTCGACTCAAAAGCACTCCCACATACCTCATAATGAGTGCTTGTCTATCATCTTCCGAAGCGGCAAAGCTCTCGTTCTCCCCGCCAGCGCTGCTCTTAGCAGCGGCCTTGGCAGCAGCGCCAGCCTGCACTCTCAGCAGCTCCCTCCTCTCCGCCTCCTTCTGCCTCCTTCTGTCTCCAAACCAACCCACCGGAATGACCCGTCTGCTACACCTCTTCGTAAGCACGTACCTCATAATGAGTGCTTGTCTATCATCTTCCGAAGCGGCAAAGCTCTCGTTCTCCTCGCCAGCGCTGCTCTTAGCAGCGGCCTTGGCAGCAGCGCCAGCCTGCACTCTCAGCAGCTCCCTCCTCTCCACCTCCTTCTGCATTGCCGCCCGCTCAAAGAACCTTCATAACAACGCCCCTTCTGCTCGGGCCCTTCTGTTAGAAACTTCCCTTCTGCTACCCGCATGTGCATCCCTTGTGCTACCTACAACGCCCGTTTCAGCTACTAGCATACCTCATAATCAGTGCTTGTCTGTCGTCCTCCGAAGCAGCAAAGCTCTCATTCTCCCCGCCAGCACTGCTCTTAGCAGCGGCCTTGGCAGCAGCGCCAGCCTGCACTCTCAGCAGCTCCCTCCTCTCCGCCTCCTTCTGCATTGCCACCCGCTCCGCTGCCGCTGCCTGGATGGCAGATCGAATCATGGAGATCTGATCCCGCGTGCTGCCTGTCCACTTGCGTCTGCTCTCCACCTCGCCCTGCTCTATGTTGAAGCGCGATGGGTCCCTCTCTGCCACGCCTATTGCTCTGTCCAACTCCTCTAACTGCAGAACGGGTGAATGGGATAAGGTTATGGGAAGCATGAGAGAAATGGGCACGATGGGGGAATGGGGGGTATGGGAGAGATGAAAGAGATGGGAGATAGGGATGGGGGGGGAAGGGAGGGTTGGCAGATCGGATCATGGAGATCTGAACTCGCGTGCTGCCTGTCCACTTGCGTCTGCTCTCCACCTCGCCCTGCTCTATGTTGAAGCGCGATGGGTCCCTCTCTGCCACGCCTATTGCTCTGTCCAGCTCCTCCAACTGCAACAAGGTGATGGAACAGCACATGGTAGGTAGGGTAACATGGTAACTAACTTGCATCTGCTCTCCACCTCGCCCTGCTCTATGTTGAACCGGGATGGGTCTCGCTCCGCCACGCCTATAGCTCTGTCCAACTACTCTAGCTGCAGAATGGCGGTGGGAAATGAGAAAAGCCAGATGGATCGACAGGCACAGCATATGGTAACTGACTTGCTCCGGCTCTCCACTTCGCCCTGCTCTATGTTGAACCGGGATGGGTCTCGCACTGAAACGCGTATGGCTCTGTCCAGCTCCTCTAACTGCAGTAAGGGTGGGTAGGAATGGGGGAAAAGGTGAGTCGAATCCAAAGGGCCTCGCTCTGCCATGCCTATGGCTCTGTCCAGCTCCTCTAACTGTAGAGAGGGGATGGAAAATGGGAACAGCCAGTCACAGCACATGGTAGGTAGGGTAACATGGAAATAACTTGCGTCTGCTCTCCACCTATCCCTGCTCTATGTTGAACCGGGACGGGTCCTCCTCTGCCACGCCTATTGCTCAGTCCAAATCCTCTAGCTGGACAAAGGGAGTAAGAAGAGGAAGAAGCAATCAGACAGTCAGGCAGACGGTAACAAGGACAGGCAGCCACAGCACACAATAGTGGATCATGGAGATCTGCTCCCGCGTGCTGCCTGTCCACTTGCATCGGCTCTCCACCTCGCCCTGCTCTATGTTGAATCGGGAAGGGCCCCTCTCTGCCACGCCTATTGCTCTGTCCAACTCCTCTAGCTGCAACACCCGCCTCCCAGCACCACCACCCGCCTCCCAGCACCACCACCCGCCTCCCAGCACCACCATCCGCCTCCCAGCACCACCACCCGCACCTCCCATTCGAGCGTCTCTGTGCCGGCCAGTATCGTCTTGGAGAGCGTCTCCCTCTCCTGGCTGCTCGCTTTTTGAAGTGCCAAAGAATGGCCTCATGCTCTCATCACACGCACCTCCCATTCGAGCGTCTCTGTGTCGGCCAGTATCGTCTTGGAGAGCGTCTCCCTCTCCTGGCTGCTCGCCCCTAGCCGCTCCCACTTGCTGTAGTCATCCTGAACCTTGGACACCTGGGGGAGAGGGGTGTGCGCGGATGGGGGAAGGGCAGCTTGAGACGGTTGGGAAGGGGGGAGGGTGAGGCGAGGCGACCTCTCTTCTGGCTGCTCGCCCTTAGCAGCTCCCACTTGCTGTAGTCATCCTGTACCTTGGACACCTGGGGAGGAGGAGCGGAATGGGAGGCGGCGAGAGGGGGAAGGGAGAGGCGGGAAATGTGAGGCGGAAAGGGTGAGGCGGTCTCTCTCCTGGCTGCTCGCCCCTAACCGCTCCCACTTGCTGTAGTCCTCCTGTACCTTGGACACCTGGGGGAGAGGGGGGTTGGAGGACGGGGTGAATGGGAGGCGGCGCGAGGGGGAAGGGCGAGGCAAGAAGACGTATCCATGCCTCTCCTGGCTGCTCGCCCCTTGCCGCTCCCGCTTGCTGTAGTCATGCTGTACCTTGGATACAGGGGGAAAAAGTGGCAGAGAGCGGTGGTGGAGGGGAGGAAGAGGAAGCACCAGGTGAACGACAGGTGATGGTGAAATTACAAGCTTGGGGTGACACAAGCTTAGGGTTACAGACGCTTACAGGTACACACGCTTACGGTGACACAAGCTTAGGGTTGCACACGCGTTGGGTTAGACAAGCTAAGGGTTTAAGGTTACACAAACTGAAGGTTACACAAGCTAAAGGTTACACAAGCTAAAGGTTACACAAGCTAAAGGTTACACAAGCTGAAGGCTACACAAGCTAAAGGTTACACAAGCTAAAGGTTACACAAGCTAAAGGTTACACAAGCTGAGCGTTGCACAAGCTAAGGGTAACAGGACCGACTCCCGGCCTGCTTATCGTGGCTCGCGCGATTGCCATTTTTGAGACGTCTCAGTGAGCGTTACACAAGGTAAGGGTAACCGGACCGACTCCCGACCTCCTTATCGTGGCTCGCGCGATTGTCATTGCCATTCACGGCACGTTAGATTTCATCACGTACCAGATTCTGTGTTTCTAGTATGGTTACACACGCCTAACTTCCGTAACATACGAACTCCTGAATGTCGCTCTTCAACTGCGGTTAACCTAGAATCCATAACATGCAAATTTTGAGAATTCTCAAAAGTCACTGCGGTTAACCTAGAATCCATAACATGCAAATTCCTGAAACTCGCTCTTTTAGTATGGTTACACCTGGATTTCCATCGCGTACAGAATCCTGTAACCTAGATTCCATCGCGTACCGAATCCTGTATTTCGTCGCGAACGAGGTAGAACGGGTCTTGCGCTGCCATCACCAGCAAGCCGTCCGCGGCCCGCAATACCACCTACCTGCCTACCCACTCCACTAGAACTGACTAATTAGATTCCTTCCTGAATAGTACTGACAAATTCCTCCTAGTTAGGTCGGACCACCAACCTATCCGGTCCTGTTAGGCAGACCAGGATGACCCACTTAGGCTGCCTATGCAGCCATGGCGGATTCTAAGTTGCTAGGCGCGTAAGGGATTGGTAATAGCGGTAGACAAATGGCGAGAATGGAGATAAATGGGAGGTAATAGCAATACGGAGGAACTTGGTCAGTCGCAGTTCATGCGAACCGTGAACAGAGATCTTGAGAGTCACCAACTTTAAAAAATAAATTATTGAGAGTTTACCTGTGCTTACGATTCCGTGACTCCATGGCCCAATGGATAAGGCGCTGGTCTACGGAACCAGAGATTCTGGGTTCGATCCCCAGTGGAGTCGGGTATTCACGTGTCTGCTTTTCTTTCAACTTTGGGAGCTTCTTTCAACCTTGGGAGCTTCTTTCAACCTTGAGAGCTTCTTTCAACCTTGGGAGCTTCTTTCAACCTTGGGAGCTTCTTTCAACCTTGGGAGCTTCTTTCAACCTTGGGAGCTTCTTTCAACCTTGGGAGCTTCTTTCAACCTTGGGAGCTTCTTTCAACCTTGGGAGCTTCTTTCAACCTTGGGAGCATCTTTCAACCTTGGGAGCTTCTTTCAACCTTGGGAGCTTCTTTCAACCTTGGGAGCTTCTTTCAACCTTGGGAGCTTCTTTCAACCTTGGGAGCTCTTGCCAACCTTGGGAGCTCTTGCCAACCTTGGGAGCTCTTGCCAACCTTGGGAGCTTCTGCCATCCTTGGGGGCTTCTGCCGACCTTGGGGGCTTCTGCCAACCTTGGGGGCTTCTGCCAACCTTGGGGGCTTCTGCCATCCTTGGGGGCTTCTGCCAAACCTTGGGAGCTTCTGCCAACCTTGGGAGCTTCTATGCAACTCTTGGAACGCCTTGAGGTGATTCTCTTTTTTGTAGTGACATTTTCCAAATCTACATGTTCAGTGGGATGGGATCGTGGGAGCACTGGGCTTCCTCAACTGGGTGTGATGATCTCTCCAATCCCTAGATTTACACTTGGAGCATCAACCTTTCCCCTTTTCGCATCATACTGCATATACGGTATGGCACTGGGCTTCCTCAAACTACCATGATGATCTCTCCACTCTCTCATTACACTTGGCACATCAACTTCCCCAATCCCATCATACAACACCCATTTGCATCATACAAATCCGCCAGCACCTACAGAACTCGTAACAGGGACTCATTTTGTACCAAATACGTTTGAACCCGCTATGGCTATATCCATTGCTGTTGTAAGCGAAGGAATGAACGTACTGTAAGGGCATTTCCAAGAGAATCCTTGTTTTCCTGACTCTTGCACCGCCTTCACGCATCTCTTCAACTCCTGGTGGCATGGGATAGCCCAGTTGCCTGCAGAGCAGTACCAATAGGTGTAGGAGAAGTACCGTACAGATAACGAGTAAGCCGGAATATTAGAGTGAAATTAAGGGACAATAAGGGACAACAGGCGCAAGCATGAAATGGCTGAAAATGTTTTCAGGACACAAGGCATGTTACGGTAGTAAGCACACCGCTCATTCAAGTGAATAAATACCAACTTTCACAGAGAACCACTTTTTGTGAAAGGTCAAAGGATAGGGGCACACCATTCGCTTCGACGCAATTGTCATGCTGCATGCAGCAGTTGTCCACGTCATCACATGGCGCCTGCCCCGGACAGCCACTCCACTTCACGCCGCAATACTTTCCGTAGCGCATGAACAAGGCTGGTAAGAGAGTAAGGGATCGGCAAAGCGAGCAGCAGAAAGGGGGTATTGCGACAATGTTAGGAATGAGAATATCAGAGGAAATGGGAGGTAAGTGGAGGGGGGACGGGACGAAAGGCCATTGAAATTAAGAGGGAGAGAGAGGGAGAGAGACAGAGAGATGTAACAACTCGTTCCGATATATTAATATAGGGACGAAGTTTCAAACTCAACGAAAGTTCTCACCATCCCAAATTTTGGTCCACGAAAGAGAGTTTTTAGATTATTCGTTCACTTGTATGAAAGCTCAGTGTCTCCAGGTAAACTGGAACGCTGAGATTTTCACAATGTTCATGCCCGAAAGTGGACGCAATTTCGGGTCCATTTCGCGAATTCACGGAGGGAATGAGAGAGAATGTGTGTGCGAGTAACGAGGCGAATGCAGTGCAGAGCAGAGAGAAGCACTCACTGTTGCATTGGAACTCGGCGCAACTCCGCGAGCAAAAAAGATTCGACACCTGTTCAATGGAACGCGAGCACGGACATAGAGAAAAGCGGGATGCGGGGGTTCAGCGGGAGAGCAGACGCAACGGTAACGAGGTAGGAGGGATTTGCTCAATAATGTCGCTACTATGGAACGATGAAAAGGAAGGAAGGATAAAATCGTGAGCGACTCGCTCAGAGCACAGTACCCTCAGGCTGGAACCACACGTCGTGATAGCGCAGGAGACGGTGAAGGCCATGAGCAGGCGGAATAAATATGAAAATTGAAGAGCCATCCTGGAAAATGTCGTGCTGTGCAGGCAACGGCGTCGGTGGCTCCTCTGGTCGACTGGGTTGCGTGATCTGCTACTGAGAGTGAGAATAGTTGTGGGGCTGGGTATTCAGTGGGATCATCTCGATAACCATGGAAAAGCGTGTTATATTCCCGTGGTGGGAGAGAGGAGACAAAACTCGACCAAAGGTTTCACTCTTGGTTCGGCTGGCTGGGACCAAAGTGGCTGGATTGAGCAGCCAATCATTTCCCTCGTTGAACAGCCAACGGAGGGTTGATTTAGGTTCGGAAATTGGCATTTGTGCGATCGAGCAAAGGCGTACAATTCACCTCACCAGGCCTGGCCTTTGCGACGCGACTGGCGCCGGGGATGGCGCTGGGACTGGAACGCGATCTCATCCCAATCCCAAGCCAGCTCAAGAAACGCGTTTTCATCTCCTTCAAAAAGTTCCCCGTGATATCACAATAAGTCGTTGGCGGAAAACATCCTAGCTTCAGATTTCATACTGGTATTTATCACTCAAAGCGCAGACCTCCAACTAAGAGGCACTCTGGCCCTGGTCACTTGGTTGTGTTTCGAGTTAAGGGTTTAGGAAGTCGTAGGTCACATTCTACGTGTGCAGCACCAGTCAAATGCTATGCTGCTTGCCACTACCACGTTATTACTACATTTCACATACATTCCACCACCTAGTTGACTGCCCCAGCCATCCAAGTCACAATCCCAGGCGGTATCTCTTTTTCACTCGAGGAAGGTGTTGAGAACCAGCGGAAGACACATGCAGCTGGGGACGTGCCGAGCTTGAGACATCAAAATAGCAAGTGCCAGTGAGCGCATTAAGTCTCAGTACCGGACATCTATAGCATCGTGAATATGTTTTCACTTGAGGAAGGTGGTGGAGAACCAGAGGAAGACGTAGGTGACAAGGGAAGTGCCGAGCTCAAGACTCCAGAAGCCAGGGAAAATACCCTCCGGGATGAACGGCACAAGGAAAGAGCCGGTGATCCAGCCAACCACGAGCGTGGCGAACCTGGGAGAATGGGTTGGGGCAATGGTTAAGAAGAAAGGTACGAGGGAACGATGAAGGAGGGACGGAGCACATGAGTGACGAGAGACATGGCGAGCTTGAGATTTGTGAAGCCAGGGAAAATGCCCCATGGGATGAACGGCACGAGGAAAGAGCCGGTGATCCAGCCAACCACGAGCGTGGCGAACCTGAGAGAACAGGTTGGGGGGAATGGTGAAGAAGAAAGGTAGGAGGGAAGGATGGAAGGAAAGAGCGAAGGAGCACATGGGTGATGAGGGAAGTGCTTAGCTCGAGATCAGAAACTGGAAAAAATTGCCCTCTGGGATGCATGACACGAGTTTCGAGTCGCCTCAAAGAGGATAAAAGGCACCGAGGGAACAAAGGGCATGATCAACGAGCCAGTGACCTAGCCAGCACGAGCACTCTCTGGTTGGCCATGGCTGGCCAACACGAAGATGAGCACAGGACGTAGGGCACTCTTTGGGCGTGCTTCGCATGTGGAAAGTAGGGGGGGGAACCACGTACCCGATAATGAGTGCTCTAGTAATGCTCTTGAGCCGCTCGTTGATGAGGTACACTGAGAGACCCAGAGCCACCGCAACCTGAAACGAACAGGGAGACGGTATGGCGTGAAGGGAAGGAGCAGCACGGTTCACACATGAATGAGTGAGTGCCCTGGTAATGCTCTTGAGCCGCTCGTTAATCAGGTACCGTCGCCGCCACATCCTACTCCTTATCGTCCGCCTGTTGCTCTGCTTCTAGGGGACGCCAGTGCATCATCCTTCCGCTTTAGCTCCGCGATTTCCTGCGCCGGAGTAATCTCTCCTGGCGTCCCCTACGCCTCCGGCGTCTCCACCACCGCAGGCGGATTAACCGCCGCCACTGTCGGCTTCTGCCGTCCCACCACTGGCGCCCTCGTTATTGGCACATACGGAGACGGGACAGTGTCCAGGGAGGGAGGGAGGGAGGGTGGGGAGTGGGGTTCAATACAGCACACAACCATAACTTGAGGGGGGCCATCAGCAAGGTTCACGATGCTTCAACCAGACGGCGATGAGAGCAAAGAGCACCGCCGCCGCCCGCTACACCAGCGTCACTCACCTGTGCTGTGCCAGCTCGATTTCTCTACCAGGAGTACTTTTGCCTTTGTCAGCTCCTTCATCGTCTCACCTGGAAGGCTGGGCCGCCCTCAGCAGGGTTCATGATACTCCAGACGGCAATGAGAGCAAAGAGCACTGCCCGCTGCGCAATCACTGCGCATTCATCTCTCACATAACGGAATCTTCTCATCACAAAGGCCTTACCTGGAAGGCTGGGCCGCCCTCGGCGGGGTTCATGATACTCCAGACGGCGATGAGAGCAAAGAGCACTCCACGCTGCGCAATCACCGCCGGCTTGGGCACATCCACCATGTCGATGAGCGCCTGGATCCAGGGCGGTGCCTCCGCCACCTTCTTCTTGAGATCCGCCTGGAGGAGGGTAGGAGGTGAGGGCGAGAATGGGGAACAAACACTTCATCACACAGCGTGGCTTGGGCACATCCACCATGTCAATGAGCGCCTGGATCCAGGGAGGGGGCGGGGAGAGAGAAGTTGATTGCATGTGTGAGGGGGTTTGGGAAGTGTGAGTCGGCAGCGAGGCTTGGGCACATCCATCCACCATGTTAAAGTGTGCTTGGATCAACAGGAAAAGCTGCTGCCACCTTTTTGAGATCGGCCTGTAGAGGAGTGAGGAGGGGGAGTCGTTATGGAAGATAAGTACCAGAGAGCGAGGGGTTGGCGGGGGAATGGATGTAAAACGGCAGGTTAAGGATCATGACCAGGATTGTGGCTGTCGCCAGGGTTTCGGGTTTAAGCGTCATGGCTGAGGTTGCATTGTTCAGAGTCCAGACAATGCATGGTGGTAGCGTGGAACCAACAACCGCCATGGAATGGCACGGTTACATTGCTCTTGGTTACGATCTTCTTCATCTGATTGATAAATTAGCCTACTGATTCCAGTTACAGCAGATACACATGTGTATCCTAAGCCGACTCAACTGAAGAACTTCCCACAGCCCATACACACTGGCCACGACCCAGCCGCACCGCTCGTAAAGGTCGAGGCACAGCAATGATTCTCGGTTTCTGAGATATATTTTCGAACAAAATATCGATCAAGAAGCACAATAACGCACTGACCTTCAGGTTGATCTTGGACTTCCGTCGCTCTCTGAATTTCTCCGCGATAATTTTGTCGAACGCCTCCTCGATGGCTTCGCGGCTCCGCTCGTGGCCCTTGTACTCCTCCACCAGGTAGTTCTTCGCCTCTGTTATCTCCTCCGTCGACGCGTCGCGGCCGAGCCCGAGGCGCTTGTAGGGGTCGCGGGTTCCGATGCGCGGGAACACCTTTGGTGCTTCTGGAGAAAGAAAAGGGAAAAAACATGTGGAAATGTTAAATTAAAACAAAAAATGGCGTGGAAAGAAGCAAACACGGGAATTGCGAGCTAGAGACTGAAGTCGTTGCAGCAAACTGTCTGAACGTGATGGTTGGAGGACGAGTCTTGAGGTATAACATCAACAATCAGAAATCTCAATTGAAGGGGTATACGGTCCCCCAAGCCGCAAGTAAGGATGTGATACTACTTCAGGGGTCGGCCAGACGACATTGAGCAAGAAGAAAAGAAGAGCAGAGTGTAATGGCACGCGGCAGTCAAGAGCGAAATGCGTACCGTCGCCGAAAGAGGCGTCCATCGCACAGACCCACATTGGCGATCGCGACGCCTCGCGAACGCATCTGCGAAGCAACAGACCAAAACACGCGGAATAAAACCCGCAGGAACATCGGTAAATGCCGACGAATGACAATTGTGACAATCTACCGTTCACGGGGAATTGGCTTGTAAACGGCAGAAAACGTTCGCTATAAGCACACCTATCATTCCGCCGAAGCGTCAAGCCGGCGCTCAGAGAGCTACTGGCCGACCATCTTCGAGTCTGCTGACGCTGGTCTGACAACGCTGTGCTCCCCACCGCCACGTACGCAGCCGCTCGTGCAGCCGCAGCCATTTCCCGGCCCTACTAGCTAGAAGCTAGAGGTGTAAGAAACAATCCTCCTGGTATAATTCTTTCGCTAATCGTTCGATTCGAAAGCTAGCGAAGAAAGAACGCGACACCAAACAGAGCGCAAGGGATTGACAGGAAAAGCTCTGCTCGCAACAAGCAGGAGCATAAGTTGCCTCAGACCATAGATAAGAAAGATAAGCAAGCGAGTGGGAAGAGAAGTAGAAGAGACCAGGATAGAACAGAAGGTTGACAGGTGGGTGTCGTCGATGGGAGATGATCAAGGGTCACAAGGGAAGCAGATAGCGTTCTTCTGGATTGTGCTCGTGGCAGGCGCACGGCACGGGATTGGATGGCGCATTGGGGTTCGGGTGACACGTGTCGTTGTGTGTTTGCTTCCGTAAGTGGCCCGCCTTGAAGGTCATAATAGAGCTAGTACAGTTTCTCATCCTTATACAGTTGAACAATGCAACTGAATCTATAAGTCTGAATACTACAATCCATAGAACAAACAAACCATTTGATAACCTCTACAAATTAGCTAGACGCCCACTACACTACAAGTTTCTTCGACTGGGGTCGGTGAATGAGCACAGGGCACGAAGAGTGATGCGCACAATAGTCTGAGACACTCCCCAGCAGCAGGCGCTTGGTCATGCCCTTGCCATGGCTGCCGATTACAAGCAGATCAACATTCTCCTTCTCCACGGTGCTAATAATTGCCTCCCTGTTGTCATCCATGAAAAAAAACAAAAATAAAAGATTAGAAAACACGGTCTGTGGGCTACAACCAGGAACTTCAAAGGAGCGGGAGAAGATATAGAATGTACATAACTCAGGGACTGCATTCTAATAGGGGCATCAGTCAATGAGCAGAGGACTTGCCTTGGATCTCCCTTCTCTTCAATTGTGACGTGCTCCAGACCTTTCTCCTCCGCCAGCTTCTTATACTCCTCCAGAATAGGGTTCTCAGCGCCAGCTAATAAAAAAATGGCAGAAAGGGAAAAGAAACAACACTCGGAATAAGGCCTCGGGAAAACACAATGGTCGGCGAACTAAGCGCTCAGGTGCACGAAGAGTTTCATTACAAGTACAAACGTGTGTCAACTCATAATGACTCAAGCTATACCGCTGACAGCTGCTAGCCAATTGGGGTGCGACGGCCTTGAATGTTAGCGCATATTGGACCTTGTGTATTTAACGACCCATGGTATTCTTGCCTTCAGTGAAACATACGTCTCAGATGCATAAGAATCCCATTCTGCAGGCCGAATGACTTATGTAAGAAGGTATGCCATGCGTCAAAACGAAACAGGAGACTTACCATCGCCGCTAGCAGCTCGGACGTTGAACAGCACCACCAGGTCCTTCTCCGGTCGGAAGATCTTTGCGACGGCGAAGTCGAACGCCTGGCGGCTAAACTCGCTGCCATCAAGTGCCACCATCACCTTCCGCTTCTTCACAACAGCCTCCTCAGCCATCGGAGCAGTGAGAGATTGAGTTTAACGAATGAAAGGTTCTCAACGAAGGGTGGGCGCAGAAAACGAGAGTGATGCAGGCAAATAATACCTAATGTCAAGAAGCTCAACAGAAACCAAGAAACGGTATGTGGAGAACTATGAGCAAACATTGCACGCCTCTGGTAGATTTTCAAGATTCAGCTGACTAGGGGTTGGGCTTGGGCCATTCGCCAAACAACCCTTTCGTTAGCATCGTCTTGCTCGCACGTCCTCGCGAACACGATCTTTGACACTGACTGTTACAACAACTCTTGCCTGGGTTTGGCGGCTGGCTGAAGGACGTGGCGGTCCAACTCAGACTTTCAGCAGACAGCGCTCCATTTTGATTGGAGCATGCAGAACAGTGACACACGACAGACCCTTGCTGAGGTTGGCTGCACGTGCCCGAGCACATCCTCACCCTCACCGAACTTCGTTAAAACGCAAGCTCATCCAGCCCAGCTTATAAAAAACAGCACAATGAAACCTTATTGATGCATCTATGAACACTACTACAGGATGGTGCCTGATGCAAATGCAGCTAACTTTTCCTTGACCAATGGCGACGAGTTGAGGATGGAAAGCCCAATACCACGTGCATTCGCCAAGGGGAATGTGTCGGTCGCAAACACTCGCTTCAATGAATCCATGGCTCCCATCATGGCAATATTGGCACCTAGGCGTTCCCTTTCGTATGACTTCAAGAGCGCCACCTGTAACAAACAACCAGCAGGACGTCAGTCCACATGCTACCTACGACCTGGCGATTGTTGGAGAAAAAAAAGACCGAAAAAAAAATCCAACAACAACGACGATCAATGTAGGTTGACTGTAGTTTGACTCACCTCTCCAATGTCCTCTCCAACTTCCACCAGTTTTTCCAGCACTGTTACAAGTGCCGCAACATCCCCGAATCCCAGGTTGGCTCCCTGTCCTGCCAGAGGATGCACCGTGTGTGCTGCATCCCCCACAAGAGCACATCTCGGTGCAACATACGAGCCGGCATGCTGTAGCGACAACGGGAACGAAAGAACCTTGCTTCGAGCCGATAAAACTTCCGGAGGCATACTAAACTTGTCCGTATCACTAAAACTGTAGAGGGGATTAGAGGGAGATTGTCTCAAGAATGATTGTAGGGAGAATGCAGATGCAATAGCAGAAGTAAGTGAGTTCCCTGCTGCTGCTGCACCAGCAGCAGAAACAGCTCCCGCAGCTGCAGCAGCAGCGGCAGCAGCAGCAGCGGCGGCAGCAGCACCAGCACCAGCAACAGAAGCAGCAGAGGGAAGCACAGAAGGCAGCTTTAAACCCCCTTGAGAGAGCCCATGTGCTGGAAACTCTTTACTGAACGCCTCATTAACTGCATATGCGAATTCCTCAGGGCTCATGGATTGTAGCTTAAGGGCGTGTTCTTCGGTGGTCGACCACACGACATTACTGAAGTGATCCCCCAGCGGGAGGAGGGCGAGAGGGCCTGAAGGGAGGAACCGCTGCCAGGCTGTGATGCTGGGGGAAGCGAGATCGACGGTCGCGATCACTCCTCGCTGGTGGTACGGCCATCCGATGGTGCGGAGGTGTGCGAGGGAGCGGACACGTGATCGAGAGCCATCGGCTCCAATCTGGGAAGGAAGAAAAGAGGGGGGGGATGGGGGGGAGAGAGGGGAGGGGGTGGGGAGGGTGATGTTGCATAAGATGTGATACAAACGAGAGAGAGAGAAAGTGAGGAGGGGAGTGAAGATGTAGAATAGGTGATACAGAGAGAGAAAGGAGGTAAGGGGATTGAATGGTATAACAGAGGCAATGCAAATGTCTGAGCAAAGAGGGAGAGGAAGGGCAGGGGGGTGATGATACAGAAAAGGAGATTCAGATGAGGGAGTGACTGGGGAGGAGGGGAATAGACAGATGGGTCAGCGAAGCAAAGGCATGTAGCTTTTCACAAAAGAGGAGCCACAGTGGGAAGAGGCGAAGGGGCTTACCACAAGCCTTGCTCGAATGGGTGGGCAGCTTTCAAAGTGGATCTCTGCTAAGCCATCCCCATCCCCACCACCATCCTTGTTCCCGCTGCTGGCCTTAGGACCGAGAGACCCTGGTTCTGATGTGACTGAATAGGGAGTGACACTGGCGGAGTCATAAGGCCTTGGCCAGTTGATGGTTTGGAGCTTCGTTGGAGCAATGAGGGACACGGAGGTATGGTCCTGCATGGTTGGGAATGGGGAGAGGAGAGAGGGTTCTCGAGGCGAGTGAGAACTTACACGGCTTGGCCAGTTGATGCTAGGGCTTTGTTGAGGAGATGAGGGACAGGGAGGGATAGGAGGGGACAGAGACTGGTGGCACATTTTGAGGCGCCTCAAAAGTCGAATGAGGACTTACTCGGCCCGGCCAGTTGATGCTAGGGCTTTGATGAGGAGATGAGGGAAAGGGAGGGATAGGTGCGGACAGAGACTGGTGGCAAACCCATGCTTCACAGCAAACTCGTTTTACACCAATTGATGGTCTGGACTGGACTTTGTGCGTGCAGGCCGTGATCGAAGCTCCCAATGGTGAGAGAAGACCGAGAGACATTCAAGACTCAACTGATCGTACATTGCTCCTCAATGACTTCGCTTTTTGCACGAAATGACGCATGGAATACTTCAGGTTTTGATTAGGGGGCGATCGGACTGATACGATATAAGCTGATGGAAACTGCGCTTCGTCGCCGTCTGTGAGTATTCATGCAGTGCAGCTGCACAAACCCACCTGTATTCTCCGAAGAAGGCTGCTGACGATCAGTTTATTCTCTACTATGTACCTGCGTACCACAAGTGGATCGTCGGTGTGATGAAGTTGAAAAGGGATGGATAAGTGGAAGCTGAGCATACGAAAATGAGTGTAAATAAACAAGAAAATTAGAACAGCTTGGGAAACAGAAAAGCAATGTTCCTTATGTTCAGCACGGATGTCATAGGGACACCGCGGAAGCTAAAATGGCATGGCTTGGCGTGCTGAAAGGCAGCCCGATAACCCATATAATATTGAATGATCTAGCATAATGAAGAGATTAAGTCACCCTAGATATGGTAGATGGCTCGCAGATGCATTGAAGCGAATGAATCCTGGCCCGGCAAAGTCCCACACCTCGAGAAGGACAATAGCAAGAACAGGGCAGGAGCAGAACACAAGCAGGACACACACGCCAATGGACTCAAGAGCAGGGATGGGAAGTTGTACGTCGTTCCAGAATGCATGGATTGCTGTAAGCTTGACGCGAACGCACTAGAATGCGCATGGTTGGGATCAAAGGGTGACCAGACACGCAGAACCATGTGAATAGACTCCTATTTTTACAAAATCAATAATAATGAACACGGTAAAGATGCAGCAGTGAAATCGGCACACACCTGCATGTGCTGGAACGGAGCAGCACGGACTGTGTCAGATGCAATGTCATCCCACACGCCCACACCTGCAAGGATATGAAGGCAACACTTTGCTTTAAGTATCACACGCTCTGGATAGATCGAATGAGAACCATACAGCAACAAAAATATACTTATTAGGCCTAACTGTGAACCTCCATTCTCACACTCACACACACACACACACACATACACACACACACACACACACACACACACACACACACACACACACACACACACCGACAAGTAACCCACGCTTGAGGAAGTCGATGGATGACGGATTCACGGCGATCACTCGCGCATCAGGAGCTGAACTTTGCATTGCCCCAACAGAAGGCGTGCTGCTGCTGTGGGAGGCAGGTCGTGGTGCTTGGCTGAGAGGGAGAGCGTCAATAAGAGCGATGCGGAGGTCTCGTGTGAATCGACTGGTTGCTGCAGGAGTACAAGTCGGAGGAGGAAGGGAGGAGAGGGAGACGGCTTAGGGTTTACATGTAGCACAAAAGCTCCCCGAGATGAACAAACTAGGGTAATTAGGTCGAGAAGGTTAATGAATATAGAAGAATCCGCAGCCAAAAATCAAGGAATCAGCACTGTACAGTAACAATAACAGTAACTTACAGAGTGCACATGCTGCAGCAGCACCAATGAGACCTCCGCCAACGATTGCCACGTCAAACACTTCTCCACCGCTGCTTCTGTTGCTGCTGCTGCTGCTGCTGCTGCAGCAGCTTCTAATGCCAGTGCTATCTCTGCTGCTTTGTCTGACGCCGCTGGCAGTGTCACTGCCGTCTTCGAGAGTGCTGGTGCTGCAGCCATGGCTGCTAGCGTCTGGAGGCTTCCCTGCATCGGTATCTGATGGTGTTACGCACGCCTTCGGCGCTGATGGTGATGCGGACGCGGACTCACGTAGACTGCTCGATACAGGCCTGATGTTCTGAAAGCATAAGTGACGTGACAGAATTGCATATATGAATGCTTGAGAAACCAAGTAGGTGACTTTTGCGTTGACTTGAACATCACCTATTGTTCTGGAGAGCAGTGATTACGAATGAACATTGCAAGGATGGACAGCCGAGAAACCAAGCGGAATGAGACGATGTAGATGGAACTAGACGCACACGAAGGATGAAAGGAGCGTCAGTAACCGAAGCGGTTATGCGAGTCCATGTCTCCCCAGCAGCGGCTGTTAACGGCTCCGATAACCGATACGGCGCGTGGCATGGTGATCTAAATACAGCGCGAGACAGCCTCCACATGATTTGAACGGCAGAGCCTCGCTTTACGTAGAACAAACGCTCTCAGCGTCTCTGGTTCTTGTGGAACTTAGGTTGACTTAGTATTGACAGAAATGCAGGCTTCCATGCTTCTCATGGATACCAGAGCTTCTCATGTGGTAACTGGATAACTGCGAAGCCTAGATCCCTGGTTCCATTCAATTTAGAGGAGGGTTGCGACATTGATGATTGTGTTCCGCGCTGTTCTGAATTCGCATGATCAAATGGTGTTTTGCCGAAGATTCTACTGCTGGTTTCTCCCCAGATTGGGGGAAAGATCTTCTAAGCCACCACGAGCTAGTCTCGAGGCCCACTGATTGGACAACATCCTCTGCTCTGGGCCAATTCCACCACCAGCTGACGTGGTCCCGAGATGACGTGAAGCGCAACAAGCACAGCACGCAAATCTCCCAGGCGACGCTGGTACTGTCATGGGTTTCGCCACTGCAGGTTACTCTCCTGGGTGGTTTGCTCGTGCATTGAATCTCGCCATACCACCCAGCGATGTAAATATTGATCGTTCAAGTGCGGCTCAAAACGGTTTTCAAAAAGTTTCCATAACAAATTATCACGGTCAAGTTGGTAACACTCCTTAGCTCCCCGTCCCTCCCCATCTGTTTTCTCCGCTCTGTTCCCCCACCTTTGTTCTTCCGCTTGCCTCCCCAGCAGTTACCCCGTTCCCTCCCCCTTCCAACCGCACCCAACGCCCGTCCACACCTCCGTTATGCACTTTGCCTTCTCACCCCAGCCAGTCTAGAACCTAGATACCTTCGTTTCATGCATATTCTGGGTCAGATTTCTCGCCACTGCCAATCCTTCTCCTCCATTCCGATTATTCAGCCGCTCTTCCCGCCATCCGACGCCTCCATCACTTCCATTCGCTCCCCGCTTCCATCGGTGCCACGAATAATACACTCGCGCGCGCTTAGACCAGATCCGTTAGTTCCAGCGTCCTTCCATTCCATTCCATTTTCTACCAGGAGAATCCGTTAATCACTTCTTTTTTTTAACCCTGTACGTTAGTAACAAAGGCAACATAGCAGTGATCCGTCGTTTCGCTGTTTCCACACCTCCTTCACATTGTCCCTCAGTTTTTATAAGTGCCACTAATATCGTCGTCGCGGCTCGTTCGCCAGGTAATATCATCCCCATGGCCTCTTCAATTGCTCGGCTTGCGGCGAGGCGGCTGGCCGGCCTGCCGGCGAGCCCGGCTGAGGTGGTATGGCGGCGGGCGATGGGAACCAAGGTGCTGGAGGAGCAAGAGCACGCCGTTGAAAACGTCTACTTCCAGGTGCGTTCCTCTATCGGGTTGTGCTTGTAACGAAGTGTGCGTGTGTATTGTATCTCTCGGAAGTGTCATTTCAAGTGGTATGGTGGCTGGCGATGAGATGAGATTATCCAGAGCAGTAAGGTGCGAAGGAGCAAGAGCATTCTGTCGTAAACGTTTACTTCCATGTTTGTGCCTTTCGTGGATTGTGCGTGTAACGAAACGGGCTAATAACGGGTATGCGTCGCGAATGTCGTCGTAGCTGGTATAGCAAAGCGCAGTGAGCGCAGGACGCGATGAGCTATGGCGGGAAGGTGAGAGAGGAATATAGGAACACGCTGTAGAGAACGTTTCTTGTTAAGGGGCTGGTTCTCCCTCATAGTGCTCTCGTGAATTAATAGTCAACGCTTGGTCTCTGGAAACACATTAAGATCATACGGATAAGGTCATTTGTTGTGCATTTCCTCTTTTCACATGATTTGCATGGATTTCTCCTTCTCTTCTTTCTTTTCTGCATGAACTTGCCCTCCACGTATGTGTTGCGTACATTTCCTTTCTTCCCATGTGTTTCATGCATGTTTTGCCAAATGCACTGTGGTTTGGATTGTGTCTGTGCTGATGTTTTCGCACATCCATCCATTCATGCATGCAGAGAGTTGAGCACGAGAAGCTCGAGAAACTCAAGGCTGTAAGTCCCTTCTGCCCGTCGCTGCCCATGCTTTGACCGTCTTTTCTTCTCCTGGTTTTTCTTGCTCCTCCTTGCTTCTCCTGGCTCCTCGTTGCTCCTCGTTGCCTCTCCTGGCTTCTCCGTGCTCCTCCTTGCTCCTCTCACTCATGAATACTTGTTCCGACGCCAAACATTCATACTTAACTTTCTATGCAACCACCCTGGATTTCACCATCCTATTTCTTCCTTCCTGGGCCGCTGCTCGTCCATTCCCTGACCCCCTTCACCTCCTATTCACCCACTCCCCTCCCGTCCCCCTCTGGGTGCATGGAAAGCTATCACACTCCAGACTGCCAATTAGGGACAGACTCTTTGTTCCCATAGCCGTTCCCCATAATCCCCACGCCTTCCCATACCCCTGCAGCAACTGGAGGAAGACTAGGAGGGGGCCGTGGCTTATGCAGCATCGGCACATGCAGCTCTCAAGGCCACCAGTTCATGCAGCATCAGCTAGGGTTGTGCTTCCCCTAACCCCTGGCTTGCATCAGCATCAGCATCAGCTCTCTTTCCCTTTACCCATTGCTTGCACCTT